CTCTTTCCTTCATTCCCTCCCCCTTTCCTCCTTTGCCTTTCTTCCCTCCCTGTTTGCTTCCTTCTTTCACTTTTTATTTCCTTTTATTTACCACCATCATAACAATAACAATAATGCAATGCATTGCCTCTGGGACCTGACACCTCTCCCATTCCCCCTAAAAGGGTCTCATAGGAACAATAGCATAATAATAATAATCATAGAAATAACAACCTTTACCCGCCACGTGTTGCTGTGGCCAATCTTCCCTCTTTCCCTCCTTCTTTCCACCCCCCTCCTTTCTTTCCCTCCTTCCTTCCTCCTTCCTTCTCTTCCTCCTTCCTCTTCCTCTCTCCTCCTTTCTTTTCCTTCCTTCCCCCCCCCCTTTTTCCTTCCTTCATGTCCCTTCTTCTTCCTTTCCTTCTTCCTTCTTCCTTCCTTCTATTCATCCTCTTCCCCTTTCTTTACCTACTCTTCCTTCTCCTCGTCCTTCTTTCATTCCTCGTCCCTCTCTTCTCTAGATCTTTGACAGAGGCGGGAAGGACCCAAATCAAAGTAAATAAAAAAAAAAACGAAGCAAAAAACGGGCAGCGCGTGGGTTTGGGAGGTGGTCTGGGGGCTGGGGGGGGGTTAGACATGAAGAAAAGGAGCGCCCAGATTGGGGCAGGGAGGGGGGAGGAGCGATAAGGGTTGCGTGTGTGGGTTGCTCGGCGCGCTGGGGGCTTGATAGAGAGCACTGGGGTTCGGGTTACGATGTGTGTGTGTGCAATGAGCGGCGGAGTGGACGTGAGGGTAGTCGGGACTTGCGTGTGTGTGTGCCGGCCGGCGGGAGAGATGAGGAGTTGCTGTGGCTAGTGCCGGCGCGGTCAGGAGGGAGCTGATAGAGACGTAGGAGGTTGCGTATTCAACGATCCAGTTACTGTCGTGTGTGCGGCGGCGGGGGGAGTGATGGAGCCTGGGGTTGCGTGTGTGTGTGCGGCAGGGTGTGTGTGTGTGCGGGAAGCGGCGCGGCGGGGCTTGGAGTGGGCATGGTTTCCGCAGAGGGAACGTTGGCCGGAAGGCCATGTGCGCGCGCGATGGAACTTGTGGCTGGGCGCCAATGCGCATGCTCAGTTGTTTTGCCGTTTTGTGAGTGTGTTGTGTTGTTTTTCATTTTGAGTAGATATGTTTGTACCTTGTGGGTTGTGTTATGGGCATGGGAATTTTGGTTAAGTTTCGTTGGGGTTTTTTTGAGTTTTGTTCTTTTGCCGTTTTGTGAGTGTGTTGCTGTGTTGTTTTTTCATTTTGAGTAGATATGTTTGTACCTTGTGGGTTGTGTTATGGGCATGGGAATTTTGGTTAAGTTTCGTTGGGGTTTTTTTGAGTTTTGTTGTTTTGCCGTTTTGTGAGTGTGTTGTTGTGTTGTTTTTCATTTTGAGTAGCTATGTTTGTACCTTGTGGGTTGTGTTATGGGCATGGGAATTTTGGTTAAGTTTCGTTGGGGGTTTTTGAGTTTTGTTGTTTTGCCGTTTTGTGAGTGTTGTTGTGTTGTTTTTCATTTTGAGTAGATATGTTTGTACCTTGTGGGTTGTGTTATGGGCATGGGAATTTTGGTTAAGTTTCGTTGGGTTTTTTTGAGTTTTGTTGTTTTGCCGTTTTGTGAGTGTGTTGTTGTGTTGTTTTTCATTTTGAGTAGATATGTTTGTACCTTGTGGGTTGTGTTATGGGCATGGGAATTTTGGTTAAGTTTCGTTGGGGGGTTTTTGAGTTTTGTTTCCTCGTTGGATGCCCCTAACAAATTTATATATATAGATTGGCTTTTTTTTTGGTCTGTTTGAAGTAATTTTACTGTTTTTCTTTTTTCTAATTTTTTTTTAAAGTTGAGAGCCATGAAATAACAATGCTTTATTGTTTTGCGGTACTGTGGCAAACTGTATTCAGAGGTTATGTAATCAAGAAGTGGCATGCAATGATTACTAACAAATGAACAAGAGGCCTTTTTGCAGTGCAATTTCCTTTCAGGCTGGAGGCTGCCTCTTTGTTCCTTTCTTCAGCCCAGATCTGTATTTACACAATTTACTTTTTTAAAAATTGCAATCAGTGCCAGGTACTCGGTAAAGGTAAAGGTTTTCACCTGACATTAAATCCAGTTGTGTCCGACTCTCGGGAGTGGCGCTCATCTCCATTGCTAAGCCGAAGAGCTGGCATTGTCCATAGACACCTCCAAGGTCATGTGGCTGGCATGACTGCATGGAGCACCATTACCTTCCCACCCGAGCGGTACCTATTGATCTACTCACATTTGCATGTTTTTGAACTGCTAGGTTGGCAGAAGCTGGGAAGCTCATGCCGCTCCCCGGATTTGAACCTGTGACCTTTCGGTCAAAAACTCAGCAGGTCAGCGCTTTAACCCACTGCACCACTGGGTTAGCTGGAGGAATTCTAAGAGCTGTAGCCAGAAAAGTAACTTTTCCAAGCAATGCCAAACATACTTCAACATCTGTAAACCATGTCACACTCTCATGCCACACAATGCCAGGATCCAGACTTCTGCCAGTATGCAGGCAGAGGTGAACCATAACAATGTCAGGATCCAGGCCTCTGCCAGTATGCAGGCAGAGATGAACCATAACAATGTCAGGATCCAGGCCTCTGTCAGTATGCAGGCAGAGATGAACCATAACAACTTCAGATTGTGTCCTAAACTATGCTGGATTTCGTACCACAAAATCACAAGTCAAACACATCCCAAACGTTTAGGATTGTGTCATGTATCTTATTATTATTATTGTTATTATTATCCTCATCATTATTATTGTTAGCTCTTTTTATGCAGTTAATCACAGCTGCATCCTGTCTTTAAAGCATCCTCCCTGAATTGCAGCAGCCTGTGAGTTCTTACAGATAGATTACTCTGACCTTTAGAACCCAGGACTGAGATTAGCCCCCTTCCATATCTTTTGCAGCATCACCACCCTGCTAGTCATTATCCTGTTTCACCCATCACCAACTGCTAGGCATGATACCAACCACCATCAACTACAGGACATTACACATATTAGGTTGTTCCTACAGAAAATAATGGAAGAAAGGGGAATAATCTGATTGTTTTTCACTGCAGGGAAGCGGTGGAAAACATGTAGCCTTTGGGATATCGTTGAACTGCAACTCCAACCATTATCTAACTGGAAACTCCCAGCTTTTTGCTCACAGTACATAAGCTTCTCTGGCTTTACCAAATGCAAAACAAGTTCTGCTATTCTGAAAAAAAATGCCCCAAAGAATATTTCCAACTGAAAGCAATAACAGGGTAAAAGATGGCTAGAGGCAAAATATTTTTTCTAAGCTTCACTTCTCCTAAGGGAACGTCTCTCTTTTGTTCCACTATTGTCTCGAGTCAAATATGATGTTGCAAGTTTTTCAAAAGCCACACACGAACCCCTTGCAAAACAGGGTCAGAGGCAAAGATTTGCAGCACCAGAGAAGTATGCGCTTTTGATTGATGATTCCTGATAGAAGGCTCCTAACCATGACCTGAACTCAGTTCCTATATTTGATTACTATATTTTTAAGCTAAGCTGTAATGATCCTGTTATAATTGCTCTATTCCTAATCTACTATTCGTTCTGTCCACCTATTTTGACCAACATATCCTTTAACTTGTGTTGCACATTGATCCCCTCGCCCTCAAAATGAGATTAGAGGTACCTATGTAGTTGCTTATGATACTTGCTTTTATTGTTTATGATGTTTGTTGTTTTTATGCTTTTTTATATTTTGTTGTTCTGTTTTTAATTGTATATTGCTTGGGCATTGCCCCATGTAAGCTGCCCCGAATCCCTTCGGGGAGATGGAGGCGGGGTAGAAAAATAAAGTTATTATTATTAATTGGTTCAACTCATTTCTCCGGAACCGGAGTCAACACGTGGAGTACATGGATCAAGTCTCCGATAGATCCCCCCTCATATGTGGGGTCCCCCAAGGTGCAATTCTCTCTCCTCTTCTCTTCAACATCTACGTTAGACCCCTTGCTAGTTTGGCTCGGAGTTTCGGCCTGGACTGCTACCAATATGCAGACGATACCCAACTCCTTCTGCGCCTGGAGCCTGGAGCAACGTCAATTCCAGACAATTTCACCCTATGTCTGGAAGCTCTGTCGAACTGGCTTCGTGCTAGCAGACTGAAGGTGAACCCGGCGAAGACTGAGATCCTCTGGCATGGCTGCCCGGCAGGTCTGACTCATCCATTACCCACCTTCGATGGTGCCGCCCTATCTCCATCGACCACTGTTAAGAGCTGAGGTGTCATCCTGGATTCACAGCTGACAATGGAAGCTCAGGTCACTGCTGCCAGCAAACAAGCCTTTTTCCACCTACAACAAGTGAGGCAATTGGCACCCTACCTATCTGACAAGGCTCTGGCAACTGTCATCCATGCCACGGTCACGTCTAGGCTGGACTATTGCAATGCCCTGTATGTGGGCCTTCCGATGTCTACGACCCGAAAGCTCTGTATTGTTCAGAATGCGGCAGCCAGGTTACTCACAAGAACGCCCATGAAATGCCATATAACACCAGTGCCTGTATAAGATGTTAGTTCTGACCTTTAAAATTCTTTACGGCCAGGGTCCATCGTACCTTAGGGACCGCCTCTCCTTCTCCCATCATCGGAGGTCGCAAAGACCAGCCCAACGCGACTTACTCTATATACCGGGTCCTAGAGAAGGGCACTTGGAAAGGACCAGGCGCAAGGCTTTCTCTATTTCTGCCCTGCCTTATGGAATTCCTTGCCACCCTATATGAGAGCCATGCGTGATTTAGGGTTTTTTACTCTAGCACTCAAGACTTGGCTTTTTACTAGAGCATTCGATCTCTGTTAAATTTTAAATTCTGTATGTATGTATTTTATCTTTTACAATTTAGCTGTAAATCGCCTAGAGCATTCTCGGGTGGAGGGCGATTAATAAGTAATTAAATATGATGCCCATATTATTATTATGCCCACTTTCTAAATATTATATATATAATAGCAATAATAATACATTTTATTTGTTACCCACCTCTCCTAATGGCTCAAATAACCCGATAAAGAAACAAACAACAGACTGCATCCCACCCAAAGCACTAAAGTCACATCACAATGGCTTCCAATGTAGTGGCACATGACATATTCCTCCTATACTCAGAAAACTAATCTCGAAACCAGTGATAGTAGATGCGTACAGTTTGGTTTTCTTTGTTGCATAATTCAAAGGAGGTTTTCATCAATTAGTGGCCACCATGAATGACCACTAGTGTTGAGAATGAGAGCTGTTAGGCTCAAAATAATCCTCACTTGGAGTGTACTCATTGAGGACTGGAACTTGTGCACTCCATGGATGAAACCCAACAATTTGTTTTGTCCAAAGCAACTGAATTCAATTGAAAGAACAAAGTTTCTGACAAGGGAGGAGGTCAAGTGATCTCAATATACAAATGGTCCCTCTGTAAAATGGAACCCATTAAGGGCAAATCCAAAGTCAATGCTTCAACCTAAGCTGTGGCTTGGCAATGGTGAGGATTCCGACTAGGGAAGAGATCAGGCCACAGATCCCAATGATTCCAGGGTTGGACCTGTAGATCCCTAGCCTGTCCAAGGGACTGGAGAGGTCACAAAGGTTCTTCACGGTGTCGAGCAGAAGGGGAGGGTGCTTCCTCAGAGCGAGGCAGAGAAACAAGGGAAATGGCAGCAGGCTCTCATCTACATTGTGGCTGCAAGAGCTGGAGTCCTCTTTGGGGCTCTGCATCCGCGCCATGCGCTCCATGCGCCAGCACAGCTCATACAGGTCCTCCGCCAGGTTCATCATCAGGGAATAGTAGTAACACCGGGTAGCCCAGTCGCGCCACTTCTTCTTGTCGACGTTTGAGACGAGCCCCACGCTTTTCACCCACAGGACGGTGTCGCAGATGAAGTACATGGCACGGTTCAAGTTGGAGGCGGTCAGGCACAAGCGGGGAATTACATTCGGCAATTGGGCAGACTGCCGCGCCGCCACAATGGCGTGGATCATGTTGCCAAGCCTGAACACTGCAAGAGAACCCACAAGTATTGTGACGATGAATTGGTGGAGGCCAAGAAAGGCGAGAGAAAGACTGAACATCTCAAACAAGTAAAAGAAGAAGAGCTAAACCTATCTGCTGCTGCCTGCCTTTTCGAGAATTAATAGTAACTAGAGGCACTTCTGTGACATGTGGGAGTCAGCTGCATTAAGATCACTACTGACCGAAAAGTCATGAGTTCGAAGCCAGCCTGGGTCAGAGTGAGTGTTCAACCAATTTGTGTAGCTTGCTGTCGACCCTTGCAGCCTGAAAAACAGTTGCACCTGTCAAGTAGAAAATTTAGGTCCCGCCTACGCAGGGAGGATTATTTAACTAATTTATGATGCTATAAAAATCTCCAGCAAGCCTGCAAAGAATGAGGAAGTACGTCATCAGTGTCACAAATGGATGGTGAAGCAACAGCTCTCCTGGTGGCCAGAATACCCTCATAAAAAGTTGGAATGTTAAATTGCCTCTGTGTCTGTCTATATATGTTGTGTGTCTATGGCATTGAATGTTTGCCATGTATGTGTACATTGTAATCCGCCCTGAGTCCACTGCGGGGTGAGAAGGGCGGAATATAAATACTGTAAATAAATAAATAAATAAATAAATGTGACAAAGATTTGACCTCTCTTATATCAGTGGTCCATTCCCACTCAGGAACTATTGTGCTGTGATTCCACTTGAACTGCCATGGTTCCATCCTGTTCAATCCTAGGGTTTGTAATTTAGTGAGGGACATCTAGAATTCTCAAGCAGAGAGTCCCAGTGCCTTTGAGGTAAAGGTTTCCCCTTGACATTAAGTCTAGTAGTGTCCGATTCTGGGAAGTGGTGCTCGTCTCCATTTCTAAGCCAAAGAGCCAGTGTTGTCCATAGACACTTCCAAGGTCATGTGGCTAGCATGACTGCATAGAGCGCCGTTACCTTCCCAGCGGAGCAGTACCTGTTGATCTACTCATGTTTGCATATTTTCAAAAAGCTAGGTTGGAGAAACTGGGCCTAATAGTTTCCAATCCAATAAGCCTTTATTGGCATTTACACAGCAAAGAGGTATAAAATACAGTGCAAATAATAGAACAAGGAACTTCACATTTGCTAAACATTCAGTTTACAGACTTCATACAGGAATCTTGCCACTGAAAGGCAGCAGCTAAAATCTTGACAATTTAAAAACATAATTACTTTGTCTGAGTCACTGTAGTTTTTCAAGGAATCTATAACATGTGGTAGTAAGCTAGATCTTAGATCCTAGTAAAGTGGGCAGTGCAGAAGAATATGCGGGATGGAATCCAGCTGTCCTGTGCTACAGGGACAAAGCCTCTTATTGCTTGGTAGACTTGTTAAATCTTGCCAGCATGTAGGCTCTTCTGTAAGAGGGGTTAGTGAGCTCTGCAATATAAAAGGCTGGGTTTCCCTGTATGAATGGAATTGCCATGTTAATAGGTGAACAGGATTTATTGGCTGGGCCTAATAGCAGGAGCTTACTCCACTCCCTGGATTTGAACTGCCAACCTTTCGACCAGCGAGTTCAGTAGCTCAGCAGTTTAACCCGCTGTGCCACCAGGGGGCCCCATAAATTATTATTATTATTATTATTATTATTATTATTATTATTATTATTATTATTATTATTATTATTATTTTGCAGAACTGCTTTGCTACCCTGCTGCTGAGTATGCATGCCCAGTGTGGAACTGGGAATGCATTAAGAGAAATAGTGGATGTCTCTTAATGAGACATGTCACATTATCACGGGGTGTCTGCGCCTTGTACCACTGGAGAAATTAGACTGCTTAGCCGGTATTGCACCACCTGAACTCCGCCGGGAAGTAGCAGCCAATAGTGAAAGGACCAAGGCAGTGACATCTCTGGCTCATCCCGTTTGGATATCAGCCAGCATGCCAATGACTTAAATCAGGAAATAGTTTTCTAAGATCTACAGAGCCACTCGCTGGAACACCTCAGCAAGCGAGAGTCCAAAAGTGGCAGGTTAAAACCCAGAACCTCAATCAATGGCTGATACCAAATGAGAGACTCCCTCCAGGGCACACAAAAAAACTGGGTGACTTGGATCGTGCTGAACAGAGTGTGCTCTGGCACCACGAGATGCAGAGTCAACCTTAAGAAATGGGGCTACAAAGTGGAGTCCACGACATGCGAGTGTGGAGAAGAGCAAACCACAGACAACTTACTACAATGCAGCCTGAGCCCTGCCACATGCACAATGGAGGACCTTCTTATAGCAACACCAAAGGCATTCCAAATGACCAGTTACTGGTCAAAGGACATTTAATAGCATGCCAAGTTTGCAAACTTTGTGGGGATTTTTTGTTTTGTTTTTAAATACAATACAACTGTTTGGTTCACTCCTGATATGACAAATAAATAAACAACATTTACTATGGCCATGGTCTAGAGGCATTCTCTCCTGACGTTTCGCCTGCATCTATGGCAAGCATCCTCAGAGGTAGTGAGGTTACCTCTGAGGATGCTTGCCATAGATGCAGGCAAAACGTCAGGAGAGAATGCCTCTAGAACATGGCCATATAGCCCGAAAAAACCTACAACAACCCAGTGATTCCGGCCATGAAAGCCTTCGACAATACATTGAACATTTACTACTGCCGATTATTCAAGGTAGTGGTAGGTGCAGCTATCCACTCCCTCTACTCGTGGCAATAGGAGGCTTGGGAACCTCTCACTTTGAACCGCTTAGAAAGCAACATACTCACACTTGCGGCCTGAGCTCACATTAGACTCCAAACGCTTGAGCTTCATGACCACTTGCTCTTGGCCAGGCTTTTGTTCTAACACATAGCTAAGCAGCATGCATGCATATTGAGTGGCTCTGCAAAAGGGAGAAAACAAACACACACTGTTCATATCGCAGGCAAGGCAAGCCATTCACAATGGAGGGGAAAGAAAAGGGTGGTGTCTTTCCCAAACAAAGCCAGGGCGAAAATACATTCAGGCAGGCGGCATGAACCAGAGACTGGAGTTGGCAATTTATTACAATATGAAGTTGCACAAGTTAGTTGCTCAATTCTAGGTGGCAACTCAAGAGATACAACGTATATGTGTAAGCAAAAATTATGCAGCAAGTTGCTCCAAAGAGCATGGAATCCTTTCCATAATGTGTATCGGTTTCTACCATTAATAATAATATAATAATAACTTTATTTATATACCCCGCAAACCATCTCCCCAAGGGGACTTGTGGCGGATTTCTTCTTTCAAAGTTTTCAGTTCTGCTAAAGGAAATGAGGAGACAGCAAAGCCGAGAGAAGACAATGATGCTGGGGAAAGTGGAAGGTAAAAGGAAGAGGGGGCCGACCAAGGGCAAGATGGATGGATGGCATCCTTGAAGGGACTGGACTGACCTTGAAGGAGCTGGGGGTGGTGACGGCCGACAGGGAGCTCTGGCGTGGGCTGGTCCATGAGGTCACGAAGAGTCGGAGACGACTGAACGAATGAACAACAACAACAAAGGAAATGAACTTGTTGTTTTAATTAAATCCTCTTTTATTCTTTTGCAACTGAAGAATCCAATAATTCTGGATGGGCAAGATCTAGAAAGCCTATAAAGCCCTAAACGGTTTGGGCCCCACCTACCTCCGTGATCGCATCTCCCTCTATGAACTGGGGCAAACTCTAAGATCCACCGGGGAAGCCCTCCTCTCGCTCCCACCGCTGCCTCAAGTCCAATTAGACAGATTAGAGAGATGGACCAAAACTAACAAAATGAAGTTCAACATGACAAATGCAAGATACTCCACTTAGGCAGAAAAAACAAAATGCAAAGATATAGAATAGGGGACACCTGGCTCGAGAGCAGTACGTGTGAAAAAGATCTTGGAGTCCTTGTGGACAAGTTAAACATGAGCCAACAATGTGATGTGGCGGCAAAAAAAATCCAATGGGATTTTGGCCTGCATCAATAGGAGCCTAGCGTCTAGATCAGCAGTTCTCAACCTTCTTAATGCTGTGACCCCTTAATATAGTTCCCCATGCTGTGGTGACCCACAACCATAAAATTATTTTCGTTGCTACTTCATAACTGTAAGTTTGCAACTGTTATGAATTGTAATGTAAATATCTGATAGGCAGGATGTATTTTCATTCACCGGATAAAATTTGGCACAAATACCCAATATGCCCAAATCTGAATACTGTTGGGATTGATGGAGGGGATTAATTTTGTTATTTGGGAGTTATAGTTGCCAGGATTTATAGTTAACCTGCAATCAAAGAGCATTCTGAACTCCACCAGCAATGGAATTGAACCAAACCTGGCACCCAGAATTCCCATGACCAATAGAAAAATACTGGAAGGGTTTGGTGGACATTGATCATGAGTTTTGGAGTTGTAGTTCACCTACATCTAGAGAGCACTCTGGACTCAAACAAGGATAGATCTGAACCAAACTTGGCACATATACGTAATATGCCCAAATGGGAACACTTGTGGAGTTTGGGGAAAATATACCTTGACTTTTGTGAGTTGTAGTTGCTGGGATTTAGCGTTCACCTACAATCAAAAAGCATTCTGAACCCCACAAATGGTAGAATTGGGTCAAACTTCTCACACAGAACCCCAATGCCCAATAGAAAATACTGTGTTTTCTGATGGCCTTTAGTGACCCCTCTGACACCCCCTCATGACCCCCTCAGGTGTCCCGACCCCCAGGTTGAGAAACACTGGTCTAGATCTAGGGAAGTCATGCTCCCCATGCTCTATTCTGCCTTGGTTAGACCACTTTACCTGGAATATTGTGTCCAATTCTGGGCACCACAATTGAAGAAAAATATTGACATGCTGGAACGTGTCCAGAGGAGGGCGACTAAAATGAATAAGGGTTTGGAGAATAAGCCCTATGAGGAGCGGCTTAAGGAGCTGGGCATGTTTAGCCTGAAGAAGAGAAAGCTGAGAGGAGATATGATAGCCATGTATACATATGTGAGAGGAAGCCACAGGGAGGAGGAGGGAGCAAGCTCGTTTTCTGCTTCCCTAGAGACTAGAACACAATGGAGCAATGGCTTCAAACTACAGGAAAGGAGATTCCACTTGAACATTAGAAAGAACTTCCTGACTGTGAGAACTGCTCAGCAGTGGAACTCTCTGCCTCGAGTGTGGTGGAGGCTCCTTCTTTGGAAGCTTTTAAACAGAGGCTGGATGGCCATCTGTCAGGGGTGCTTTGAATGTAATTTTCCTGCTTCTTGGACGAATGGGGTTGGACTGGATGGCCCACCAGGTATCTTCGATTCTATGTTTCCTTAACTCCCCCGTTTTTCGTAATCATACATAGAAATGGAATATATTATGGCATAGGCACCACTAACTTGAGTATTCCATTAGCTTAAGTTCTGAATGGTTCAAATCATAAGACTGTCAAGCTAAAGTGAGTATTCCTAATCAACAGCCTTACAAAATATGCCGTGGGTGGTGGGCGTGCCTCTAGGCAAGAGATTTCAACACCAAATTCTGGAAATTCTGGAAACAAAGCACCCTGGCTGTTAGGAATTATGGGAGTCGGAGTCCAAAACACCTGGAGGGGAAGACAAAGTTGGCCCAAGACTGGTTGGGAATTGTGGGAGTTGGAGTCCAAAACTTGCTATTTCCTCCAAAAGTTGACCAGCCATGGGCCAACTTTGTCTTTCCCTCCAGGTGTTTTGGACTCCAACTCCCACAATTCCTAACAGCCTAGCGGCTGTTAGGAATTGTGGGAGTTGAAGTCCAAAACACCTGGAGGGCCCACGTTTGCCCAAAGCCTGCTGAAGCCTTTTTTGGATCCTGTCCTTTTGGGGTCTTAGCTTTCCCTTCCACTTTGGTGCCATCTGGATCAGCAGAATGCCTTCTGTATTGTCGAAGGCTTTCATTCCTAACAGCCTAGCGGCTGTTAGGAATTGTGGGAGTTGGAGTCCAAAACACCTGGAGGGAAAGCCAAAGTTGACCTATGCCTGGTTGGGAATTGTGGGAGTTGGAGTCCAAAACTTGCTGCTATTTCCTCCAAATGTTGACCAGGCTTGGGCCAACTTTGGCTTTCCCTCCAGGTGTTTTGGACTCCAACTCCCACAATTCCTAACAGCCTAGCGGCTGTTAGGAATTGTGGGAGTTGTAGTCCAAACCACCTGGAGGGAGAGCCGAAGTTGGCCCACGGCTGTCCTAGGATCCCCGCCCCGAGCCCCTTCCTTCCTCTCCCCGGGATCCCTCACCGAAAGGCCCGCTCCCGGCCCCGGCTCTGGTCGGTGAACCGCACGAACGCCTCCATGCCTGCCTGCCTGCCTGCCAGACAACTTCGCCCAACTTTCCTCCAAGGGGGCGTGGCCAAAGTCATGCCCCGCCCACTTCGTGGAAAGTTGGGCGAAGTTTGCTCTCTTCTCCGGAAGCGCTCCGCTTCCGGCCTGGGTTACTATAGCAACGGATAAACTTCCGGAAGAGAATGTTTTGGTGAATCCAGGTGTGTTTTTCTGCTTTTGGTCAAGGAAAGGAGGAAGGAGGGGATTCTCGCGAGGTGTCATCCCAGGCCTGGGCCAGCTTGGGCCCTCCAGGTGTTTTGGACTGCAACTCCCACCATTCCCAACAGCCTCAATAAGAGGAAAGGGTCCAAGCTGGGCCATATAGTCAAGGCTTTCCTCTGGCATGAAGTCCAGTTTATTTTATTTATCGTGTCAGGGCAACCAGTCGATTATATTACATTTCTAACAGAACAAAGCAAACAAACAGACAAAATACAAAATTTGTGAGTTTGGTAGTTGATTAAATGTCCTTTGACAGTATCTGGCCACTTGGAGTGCTTCTGGTGTTGCTGCAAGAAGGTCCTCCATTGTGCATGTGGCAGGGCTCAGGTTGCATTGCAGCAGGTGGTCAGTGGTTTGCTCTTCTCCACACTCGCATGTTGTGGACTCCACTTTGTGGCCCCATTTCTGAAGGTTGGTTCTGCATCTCGTGGGGCCAGAGTGCAGTCTGTTGTATGCGCCTTTAAATGTGTGTACACCCTATGCATGTGTATCCGAACGTATCTCTGCCTATGAACCCACCAGGACTCTAAGATCTTCTAGGGAGGCCCTGCTCTCGATCCCGCCTGCATCACAGGCACGGCTGGCGGGGACGGGGGCGGGGCCTTCTCTGTGGTGGCCCCTTGGCTGTGGAACGCCCTTCCCAGGGACATGTCATCAGCTCCTACGTTAATGGTGTTTCGAAGAAAACTAAAAACCCGGCTGTTTGAACAGGCGTTCGGATAAACAGTGCAATGAATACGATGAATATAGGAACGGAATTATAGACGACGACTTGGATCACGATTCTAGTTACGAGACGTTAATGTGTTGTTATTGATGTGTCATTACTTTGTATATTATGCTCTTAATGGTTTTTAAATTGTATATTGTTATGATTGTCTTTTTGCTCTTGTTGTGAACCGCGTTGAGTCACCTATGGGCTGAGAAACTGCGGTATACAAGCAAAGTAAATAAACAAATAAATAAAATAAAATAAATAAGTCTGTGTGCCCAGAAGAGAGTCTCTCATTTGGTATCAGCCATTGATTGAGGTTCTGGGTTTGAGCCTGCCACTTTTGGACTCTCGCTTGCTAAGGTGTGCTTTTGTAGATCTAAGAAAACTATTTCTACATTTCAGTCTTTGACGTGCTGCCTGATACCCAAACAGGGGATGAGCTGGAGATGTCTCTGCCTTGGTCCTTTCACTACTGGCTGCTACTTCCCGGCGGATGTCAGGTGGTGCGATACCGGCTGAACAGTGTAATTTCTCCAGTGGTGTAGGGCGCAGACACCCCGTGATAATGCGACATGTATCATTAAGAGCCACATCCACTGTTTTAGCGTGGTGAGATGTGTTCCACACTGGGCATGCATACTCAGCAGCAGAGTAGCATAGCGCAGGGCAGATGTCTTCACTGTATCTGGTTATGATCCCCAGGTTGTGCCAGTCAGCTTTCGTATGATATTGTTTCTAGCACCCACTTTTTGTTTGATGTTCAGGCAGTGCTTCTTGTAGGTCAGAGCACGGTCCAGAGTGACTCCCAGGGATTTGGGTGCGCTGCAATGCTCCAGTGGGATTCCTTCCCAGGTGATCCTCTGAGCTCAGGATGCTTGTCTGTTCTTGAGATGAAAGGCACATGTCTGTGTTTTAGGGGAGATAGAGCGGTATATAAATAAAGTTTTGTTGTTGTTATTGTTGGTCAGGGTTGATTTGATGGGCCTTCCCCTTGACACATTTCTCCCTTTCGCCCTCCATTCATGCCTCTTTGAATTCTGCAGCACTGCTGGTCCCAGCTGACCTCCAGCCAGAACGCCCAAGGGCCAGGATGTCCCAGTTCTCTGTGTCTATGCCACAGTTTTTAAGGTTGGCTTCAAGCCCATCTTTAAATCTCTTTTCGTGTCCACCAACATTTTGTTTCCCATTCTTGAGTTCGGAGTAGAGCAACTGCTATGGGAGACGGTGGAGAAGCATTGGACATTCGGACAATGTGGCCAGTCCAGTGGAGTTGATGGTGGAGGAGCATTCCTTCAATGCTGGTGGTCTTTGCATCTTCCAACACACTGATATTTGTCTGCCTGTCTTTCCAAGAGATTTGCAAGATTTTTTCAGAGGCAACGCTGATGGAATCGTTCCAGGAATTGGGTATGATGTCTGTAGACAGTCCACATTTTGCAGGCATATAGCAGGGTTGGGAGGACAATAGCTTTTTAAACAAGCACCTTGGTCTCCCTATGGATGTCTCAATCTTCAAACATTCTCTGCTTCATTCAGGAAAATGCTGCACTTGCAGAGCTCAGGCGGTGTTGTATTTCAGTGTTGATTTTTGTGAAGCAGTGCCTGCCAAGGGAGCAGAAATGGTACACATTTTCTAATGTTACACCATTAAGCTGAATTTCTGGCTTTGTAGAGGGATTGGCTGGTGACTGCTGGAAGAGCACTTTGGTTTTCTTGATGTTCAATGAGAGGCTGAGGTGTTTATCTGACCCCTGAGGCCCCTTCTGCACTATCCTTATACCCCAGGATGTGATCCCAGATTATCTGCTTATCCCAGATGATATGGCTGTGGAGACTCATATAACACTGTTCTACAAATTTTCAGTTTTTCTCAGTTTCGGAAACGAAATGTGCCATTTCTTAATAAATTTAACATGCTGAATTCAAATATAATAATTAAATGTGTTAATTGGCTCTGGTTTTTATGCAACAGCTATTTCAATTTTCTCCACAATAGGTAATTCGCTAATATTATGATAATGCGCCAAACCTTACTGCATATAAACCGTGAATATTTACTAAATTTTAGTCAAATTATATTGCCAATAGTTTATACATGAGAAATATTTATTTAATTAGTCTATTGTTTATGTTTGTGCAGCAAGAAACTATATTCGTAGGCCTAATGCAGTTGAAAAGTCTGAAAGTTTAAATGTCGCTTTAATCGTGACTTTAGTTTATATCCTGTTTGCTTCTCTTGACTTTTCTTTTGTATTCAAGGAGAGGATTCCCTCTTACAATGCTCCAGCAGGAGTCTGACAGCATTGACGGAGTCCATTGGCCTTGATCTCGTGCTTTTCCATAGTGCTTTATTTACACACGTGCGAGGAGGCATAAATACAGTAAAAAGAACAATGTCAAACGATGTTTAACGAGACTGTCTCCGTCTTCAACTGACTGACCCTCACCGTTCAAAAGTCTGGCCTTATATAGGGCTTTCTGGCTTTTGAATACGGCACTAATACTGCGTCATCAAACTTTCTAGAATATTCTAGAATCTTCCATAGTGTAAGTCGCAACATGCATTTTTTCAACCATACGTGATCACGTGATTGCTTATATCATAAAAACTAGAGTCAATATACATTTTTAAATGTCATTTTCGTTTTCAGCACCCCAAAATCATAAAAGAACAACTATTTTCAGGCCCGCAACTTTTTCTCCATTGAACAGTGTAATCAAAGCAGATAACCTGGGATCAGATCCTGGGACATCTCAGCCTGAGTGGCCACAGTACACAACTCTTGTGAGTTGAGTCATGCTTAGTAACCACTTTGAACTCATTGCAAGATTACTGAGATAAGAATATAAATCCATTATTAAATCAGGAATGGCACTAGATGGATTTTTTTTTTAAAAAAACTCTTTTAGGGTTCATGAGTAGAAGATTGCATTGTTCCTCTGTAGCAGGAAACTATTTATTTATTTATCATTTCAGAAGCAAATTGAGAATACAGTTATCATTTATATAAAAGCAACAAACAGAGTTCAAAGCTTGGTGTTGTACTAAATTTCTTTGACCAGAAGCTGGGCACTTGGAGTGCATCTGGCGTCGCTGTGAGAAGGTCCTCCATTGTGCATATGGCAGGGCTTAGGCTACATTGTACTAAGTGGTTTGTGGTTTGCTTTTCTCCACACTCGGATGTTGTGAACTCCACTTTGTGGCCCTATTTCTTAAGGTTGGCTCTGCATCTCGTGGTGTCAGAGCGCAGTCTGTTCCGCTCCTTCCAAGTCACCCAGTCTTCTTTATGCCCAGGAGGGAGTTTCTCATCTGGTATCAGCCCCTGATTTAGGGTCTGGGTTTTAACCTGCCACTTTTGGACTCTCACTTGCTGAGATGTTCCCGCGAGTGTCTCTGTAGATTTTAGAAAACTATTGATTTAAGTAATTGGCGTGCTGGCTGATATCCAAACAGAGGATGGGCTGGAGATGTCACTGCCTTGGTCCTTTCACTATTGGCTGCTACTTCCTGGTGGATGTCATGTGGTGCAATATCGGCTAAACAATGTAATTTCTCCAAACAAAACCTTTTTAAAGATGGCCAGGAAACTCTAGAACCTGATCAGTAATATTTTTTTATTTATCGTGTCAAGAGCAAACCAAACAGTTGTATTGCATTTTTAACAAACAAACCAAACACAAAGTTTGCAAGCTTGGTAGTTGATTAAACGTCCTTTGACCAGTAGCTGGCCACTTGGAGTGCCTCTGGTGTTACTATAAGAAGGTCCTCCATTGTGCATGTAGACATCTGCCCTTGCGTTATGCTACTCTGCTGCTGAGTACGCATGCCCAGTGTGGAACACATCTCACCACGCTAAAACAGTAGATGTGGCTCTTAATGAGACATGCCGCATCATCACGGGGTGTCTGTGCCCTACACCACTGGAGAAATTACACTGCTTAGCCAGTATTGCACCACCTGACATCCGCCGGGAAGTAGCAGCCAATAGTGAAAGGACCAAGGCATACACATCTCCAGCTCATCCCTTGTTTGTGTATCAGCCAGTACGTCAACGACTTAAATTAAGAAATAGTTTTCTAAGATCTACAGGGATACTCTCAGGAACACCTCAGCAAGAGTGGCAGGCTCAAACCCAGAACCTCAATCCATGGCTGATACCAGATGAGAGACTCCCCCCCTGGGCACACAGAAGACTGGGCGACTTGGAAGGCGCTGAACGGACTGCGCTCTGGCACCACGAGATGCAGAGCTAACCTTAGGAAATGGGGCCACAAAGTGGAATCCATGACATGCGAGTGTGGAGAAGAGCAAACCACTGACCACCTGCTGCAATGCAACCTGAGCCCTGCCACATGCTGATCAGTAATGAGATTATCTTTCTCCCCCCAGCATTTTCTCTGCATTTAGAATTTCCAAATTCCCTGTGTCCAAGTTATTGAGGACCAACAAAAGCAAGAGAAGAATGTCTTTGTTCCTCCGAAAGCAGCCTCAGGAGATCCCTTCACCCACTGAAAAGGATTGGATTAAAAAATACGAAGAGGAAGATCTGTTTCTAAAAGACCCTGACGAGCGCCTTAACTCTTTGCCTCAGCCTTTGCGGACGATCAACAAAGTGCTGAACTTGCTCTTTGACCGGGCCTGGGAGATTATTGAAGGGAAGCGTCCACTGCAGGAGATAAAGCAACAAAATCTTGCTCTGACTGTATACCACCCTTCAGCTGAGTTGCAGGTATTTGGACACCCAATAATGCATGGAAGGGAGCTGTTTCTTTGAAGTAACCCCCATTCAGTAAGAAATAGGTATGCTGTGAGTTTTCCAGGCTGTCTGGCCATGTTCCAGAAGCATTATCTCCTGATGTTTCACCCACAACTATGGCTGACATCCTCAGAGGTTGTGAGGTCTGTTGGAAACTAGGCAAGTGAGGTTTATATATCTGAGGAATGTCCAGAGTGGGAGAAAGAACTCTTTGTTTGAGGCAAGTGTGAATGTTGCAGTTGACCACCTTGATTAGCTATAAATAGCCTTGCAGCTAAAATCTGGACAGTAGATAAAGAACAACACTAAAAAAACCAAAAAACAGGGAAATTCCAGACAGGAAACCATCAGAACCAGCTAACACCTCCCCACAAAGGAGTCCCCCAGGCAGGAAGCAAGCAGACTTTGAAGCTGCAAGGCTGCTCAATGATAATCAAGCTGTCCAAAGTTAGGAGTTAGCCTTGGACTCAATCCCACATTATCTATTAGTGGTAAAGTTTAAATTTATATCCAGGAACATAGTGTGAGTGAACTTATACATGCCCTCGATTACTCAATTACTAAATTTTAAGCATTGTGAGGCCTTCATAATCCTATTGAGTGCTACTAGAAGGATGTTCCAAAAGAAGGTATGGGCATATCTTCTTTTTAACAGAGTATTTAATTTATATTTCATTTGATTTATTACCTGCTTCTTTCCTTGTATGGGACGCAAAAAGCCTATAGCATTTTTTAAAAAGCGATATTTTTAAAGGTAGTAAAGGTAAAAGTTTCCCTGACATTAGGTCTAGTCATATCTGACTGTGGGAAAGAGTCGCGTCTGTATACACCTTCAAGGTCATGTTGCCAGCATGACTGCATGGATCGCCATTACCTTCCCACAGAAGCAGTACCTATTAATCTACTCAGATTTGCAATTTTTCAAACTACTAGGTTAGCAGAAGCTGGAGCTAACAGCAGGAGCTCACCCTGCTCCCCGAATTCAAACCAGCAAATTCAGCAGCTCAGCAGTTTAACCTGCTGAACCACCAGGGGGCCCTAACAAAAAAATGTTCCAATATTGTTTGCAAAACATTAATAAGAATTAAGAAATTCAATTAGAAATAAGCTTCAAGCATTCTGCTCTGATCTGCACCGCAGAGAGTCCCAATATAAATTTTACTTTTACTGTCTGTTCATATGATAATTTGTACACTGCCTTTGTATTTCATAGAAATCACTGGGAATGCGTTCTAACAAATAATCTCAGCATCCTTGTAAAAATAGTATATCAAAACAGATACGTTGGCACATTGAATACTGACAGACTTTCAATTCATGAGCCTTATATGTTTTTGTGAGTCACCTTGGGTCCCACTCTGGGACAAGGTGTCATATACATAAAGTGAATAACTAAATATGTCGAAATTGCTGAAGTGAACTTTGAACTCTCTTCCTTTTAACTTTTTCTAGGTAACAGGAAGGGCAAACTGCCTGGAAGTCTCTGGGAGATATATCTTTGCTGGCCTCTCTACAGGACTTTCTGTCTTCAGTTCATCTACGTGTGAGAAGCTTTGTGCTTGGGAGGCAGCCAACCTTGAAATTTGCACCATCTGCGTCTCAGGCCTTAGTGGCAGCTCCTGCCTCCTTGGGGCAGTGGATGAGCTGGGTAGGTGCCAACTTTTCAGATCACTCAGAAAACATAGTCAGACTACACAGAGAAGCCATTGAAATCCACAAGAAGCATGTGGACAATTTCAACAGAAAGGAGGAGACCATGAAAATGAACAAAATCTGGGTACCAGTATTAAAAAACTCTAAAATTACAACAGCACAACAGCAGAGAGGAAACAACCAGGCACATCTTAACACCTCTCAACGAAAGATTCCCCCAGGCTCAGCCAGGCCTTCAAATGCTAATGAAGGTGGTCAGTTGAAACATTCACACCTAGCTCCAGCAGAGAAGAGCTCTTTGCCCCACCCCAGTCATTCCACAGATATATAAACCCATTTTCCAAACTCCAACAGACCTCACTACCTCTGAGGATGCTTGCCATAGATGCAGGCGAAACGTCAGGAGAAAATGCCTCTAGAACATGGCTATATAGCCCAAAAAAACCCACAAGAACCTAACATAGTAATTCTTTGCAAAATGTTTGTTAGTCTATATTACATCTATTTTCTTGTGTTTCAGGTGTTGCCCATCTTTTCTATTTTGTCAGAGAGAACCTCCTTCATATAAAAGCCATAAATGAAGTGGTGAGTCTGTTACTGTGTCTGTCTTGTTGATATGATATGATATAAGGGGTGCTTCCATTTTCCAACTGCATGACTGTTAATTTTACACATATACACTTCAGTTCACTCACTTCATTTGATGTTCAGCACAATATCATCACTTGTTTCAGGGAAAGGAACTTGTTGACCTCAGTTTGTTGAACTGCAGCTATTGTCGTCCCTTGCCTTCAAGTTGCACAACTTATTTGGAAACAGGGCCATTGATTTCAGTGAGGCTTATTTCTGAAGTAGTTGTATGTTGGACTGTAGCCCAAGCCTTCTGTAGACTTAATTTACAAGTCCTATTTATTTCGATGGGAAATAAAAATAACTGTTATGGTCGCTTTCTGCAGCTGATCATCAGAACTGTTTACTAAGCCCAAACTGTAAAATTAATTGCTACTTCAGAACTCAGGAACAGAAGTAAGACTGTTAGAGACCCTAAATTGGGTCTTTTTAGGTCCACGTCGCGGGAGCACGAAAGGATGGAGACAGTCCCAAAAGAAGATCAAAAAACAAGGTTTATTTTAGTTTCTTCATGAAGAAGACGGACAGCCGCGTAGCTTGCACAGATGCTACCCTTCAAGTGACTGCCGTGCCCCCTTGGCTTTTGATCACCAAATATATAACCTCAAGTAAACAAGAACATTTTTTGTCATGGAAAGTACCGTCTTTCCAGCCCCCTCTCTTGACCTTTTGATGGAAAGTACCTTCTTGTACACGCGGCCTCTGCGCTTCAAAAAACAACCTTTGAAGTTAACCACAAGCATCCTGTGTAAGAAAGTACCTTAATATGTCACATCTTGTTTCTTCCGTGGTGCTGTCTCTCTTTTGCTGTTAATTTCATTCAAAGCCCCTTACTTAGTATTTGCAAATTTCTCTCAAAGACCCTTTCAAGACCACACATTTTCCAGTGAACATCTTATATCCCATTTCCACCCTTCTAATATCTCACACTGTTCTGTCGCACGCTAGGCCTGTAAAGAATTTCCTTTAGAACAGGGCATACAACCTTTGCCCAGCGGGCAAACAGGGGGCCCAAGGAGAAGTTCTCAGAGGTTTTCCACCACAAATAGTCTTTAGATGGCTTGTGAAGTATAACACAGTCCTTTATTAATGAACAATCAAACGGAAACTTCTCTTGTCTTCAGAAAGTTAAACAAATGATTCCAGGCTTTTATGCAACTGGTAGCTTCCTAATCTTGCCCACGAAGGACAAGCAACTGTCTTCAATAACTTCTTCTTTACTTTAAAGGAAAGTCCCCTTTTTAACTTTTCCCAGGCTGACTGTAATCTATCCCTTACTGATGTGGGCTCCGCTACCGGGTCAAACTGCTTCTCGAATGCCAAGTGGACCTACCAGTAAAGGCTTAGATATTCTCCAGCTGGAGTTCTTTGGTCTTTAGGGCTGTTTCCCTGGAAATATTTGGAGACTCTTAAGACCGTTTCCCCCCGGAAAGTTGTGGATGCTCTTAAGACTGTTTCCCCCCGGAAGGTTTTAAGGGTTGAAGCTTTTGTACAGGGGAAGTTTGCACATGTCCTGTACATTAGCTTTACTTGCTGAGACTAACTAAAAATGGCTCCCTTCCCTTCCCAATTGCCCTGAGCAAGGGGCGCAACCAAAACTTAACGATGATGGACAGGTGACTTGCCCTATGACTGCAACCAAAGGAAGCCACCTTTCTGCAGAACCTCTGAAACCCTGGACTGCAAGCAAACACTCAATACAAAGCAAATAAAGTTGGAGCTCCTGGTACAGCCGTACCAGAACACACACCTTTGCCCAAGTTTTCCTTGTCCTTTGTGCTCACTACGTTGAAATCTCTTAGGCTAGGTATGTTCAGACTGTCTAAAACATGTATAAGAGCACTCCCTGAGTTTGTTCTTGAAGGCTTTCATGGCCGGAATCACTGGGTCACTGCGAGTTTTCCGTGATGTATGGCCATGATCCAGAAGCATTCTCTCCTGACATTTTGCCCACATCTATGGCAGGCATCCTCAGAGGTTGAGGGGTCTGTTGGAAACTAGGCAAGTGGGATTTATATATCTGTGGAATGTCCAGGGTGGGAGAAAGAACTCTTGTCTGCTTGAGGCAGGCAGAGAAACCACTGAAATCCACATGTGGACAATTTCAACAGAAAGGAAGAAACCATGAAAATGAACAAAATCTGGGTACCAGTATTTAAAAAAACTATAAAATCAGGACAGTAAAGAGCAACACTCGGAAAACAGGGGAATTCCAGACAAAAAAACAATCAGGGCCAGATAACACCTCTCAGCAAAGGATTCCCCCAGGGCAGCAACCAGCCAGGCTTTGAAGCTACAAGGCCATTCAATGCTAATCAAGCTGGTCAATTACAACATTCACATTTGCCTCAAACAGACAAGAGTTATTTCCCCCACCCTGGACATTCCACAGATATATAAACCTCTCTTGCCTAGTTTACAACAGACCCCTGAGGATGCCTGTCATAGATGTGGGTGAAACGTCAGAAGAGAATGCTTCTGGAACATTGCCACACAGCCCAGAAAATTTATTTATTTATTTATTTCGAACATTTCTACCCCGTCCTTCTCAACCCCTGGGGGGGACTCAGGGCGGCTTACAATTGGCAATAATTCAATGCCGCATCATAAAATACAGAATACAGAATAACAAATATAACAATTAACATGAACATTAATAAATAAAGATTAAAACAGCATACTTACACTCTGATTAGCTATTGCCCGTCTGGTGGCTGTTTAGCTAGCCATCTACTAATGATTACTCCGCTTAACTTATCCAAATCCTCTTGCATGCCATAGTCAAACATTATCAAGTGTCCTTTAACCTGATTGCCCGAAGGCCTGGTCCCACAGCCACGTTTTAACCTTTTTTCTAAAGGTGAGGAGGGATGACAATGGCCTAATTTCCCCGGGGAGCAAATTCCAAAGGCGGGGGGCCACCACCGAGAAGGCCCTGTCCCTCGTCCCTACCAAGCATGTTTGAGACAAAGGTGGGGCCAAGAGCAGGGCCTCCCCACATGATCTTAAACTCCGAGTTTGGACGTAGAAGGAGATACGTTCGGACAGGTACGCTGGATTGGAGCCGTATAGGGTTTTATAGGTCAAGACTAGCACTTTGAATTGTGCTCGGAATTGGATCGGCAGCCAGTGGAGCTGGCACAGCAGGGGAGTGGTATGCTCCCTGTATGACGCTCCGGTGAGTAATCTAGCTGCCGCCCGTTGGACTAATTGTAATTTCCGAACAGTCTTCAAGGGCAACCCCATGTAGAAAACTCACAGCAACCCATCCCCTGAGTTGCTAGGTCAGTTCAGTGAGCCCAGCCTGCTCTAAATATATGGTATTCTTCATCTGGTTTTTGTTTTGTTTTTTGGGCAGGAAGATATTACCAAGCGGAATGTATGTGCCACCTTGCAGCTCTCTCACCGGGCTGATTATGCTGGCTTCCTGCTGCAAAGTAAGTCCCGGTAGCTGGCCTTGGTCTTTGCAACTGTTCTAATGATCAGAAGCATAAGAACATTCTATTTAAAAAAAGAAAGTAGTTCCATCACACTACAAGTATCCAATAGGACAAGTACGTGGAATTTTGACTGTTGGATATTGTCAGTTTGCAGCCTGAATCAGTCCTAACTAGACCAGCAGTTGGGAGATATAGGGTACATCTACACTTTGGAATTAATGCAGTTCAACATCACTTTAAAGGCAACCGCTCATATAGTAGTACTATAGTTATTAAGATATATATGTTCTGTATATAATTTGTTAAGGGCAAGTGATAAGTTGTTGTTCATTCGTTCAGTTGCCTCCGACTCTTCGTGACCTCATGGACCAGCCCACGCCAGAGCTCCCTGTCGGCCGTCACCACCCCCAGCTCCTTCAAGGTCAGTCCAGTCACTTCAAATATGTAAAACTTGCAATAAAAAAATTAAATAAATAAAGGAAACCGCTCAGTCCTATGGAATCATGGGAGTTGTAGTTTTGCAAACTCTTTAGCCTTGTCTGTGAAAGAGTGCCGGTGCCTTATGGAACTACAAGTTCCAAAATTGCATGGCATTGAGCCGTGGCAGTTAAAGTAGAAGGAGCTCATGGTGATGCAATGGGTTAAACCAGTGGTTCTCAACTGCCGCGACACCTTAATGCAGTTCCTCATGTTGTGGTGGCCCCCAAACATAAAATTATTTTTGTTGGTATTTCATAACTGTCATTTTGCTGCTATTATGAATCGTAATGTAAATATCTGATATGCAGGATGGATTTTCATTTACTGGACCTAATTTGGCACAAATATCCGATACGCCCAAATGTGAATACAAGTAGGATTGGGGGAAGATTTATTTTGTCATTTGGAAGTTGTAGTTGCTGGGATTTATAGTTCTCCTACAACCAAACTCCACCAATGATGGAAATGAACCAAACTTGGCACACAGAACTCCCATGACCAACAGAAAATATTGGAAGGGTTTGATGGGCATTGACCTTGAGTTTTGGAGTTGAACTACAAAACAGAGAGCACTGAGGACTCAAACAATGATGGCTCTGGACCAAACTTGGCATGAATACTCAATGTGCCCAAGTGTGAACACTGGTGGAGTTTGGGGAAAATAGACTTGACATTTGAGATTTGTAGTTGCTGGGATTTATAGTTCATCTACTATCAGAGCATTGTGAACAGCACCAGTGATAGAATTGGATCAAACTTCCCACATAGAACCCCCAGGAACAACAGAAAGTACTCTATTTTCTGATCGTCTTTGGCGACCCCTTTGATCCACTCTTGTGACCCCTGCAGGGGTACCGACCCCCAGGTTGAGAAACACTGGGTTAAACCCTTGTGCTGGCAGGACTGAAGACTGACAGGTTGGAGGTCCGAATCTGGGGAGAGCATGGATGAGCTCCCTCTGTCAGCTTCAGCTCCCCATGCGGGGACATGAGAGAAGCTTCCCACAAGGATGGTAAAACATCCAAACATCAGGTAGTCCCCTGGGCAACGTCCTTGCAGATGGCCAATTCTCTTACACCAGAAGCAACTTGCAGTTTCTCAAGTCGCTCCTGACACACACAAAAAGTTAAAATAGAGTCAAACTGCATCAATTCTACCAAGTAGACATATCAATCATGAGAGTTTATGTCGAGTAGTACATGGAGGGTGTTCTGTCACATGCTGGGCCTGTAAAAAATTGCCTTTAAAATAGGACGTGTAACTTGAGCCCAGCGGGAAGCCAGGGGCCCCCAAAGAGAAATTCTCAAGGATTTTCTGCCACAAATGGTCTTTAGATGGCTTGTGAAATATAACGAAGTCCTTTATTAATGAACAATCAAACAGAAACTTCTCTTGTTTTCAATAAAGTTAAACAATTGCTTCCAGGCCTTTATGCAACTGGTGGCTTCCTAATCATGTCCACAAGGGGCAGGCAACTGTCTTCAATAACTGTTTCTTTACTTTAAAGGAAAATCCCTTTTTAACTTCTCCCAGGCTGACTGTAATCTAAGCCTTACTGATGTGGGCTCCGCTACCAGGTCAAACTGCGTCTTGAGCACCGAGTGGACCTACCAGTAAGGCCAGTAGATTCTCCAGCTGGAGTTCTTTGGTCTTCCAAACTGTTTACCCTCCGAAATTCCTCAAAGCTTTAGGGCTGTTTCCCTGGAAATCTTTGGAAATCTTTGAATGCTCTTAAGACTGTTCTCCCCTGGAAAGTCTTAAGGGTTGAAGCTTTTGTACAGGAGAAGCTTGTACAGTCCTCTAAATTAGCTTTCCTTACTGAGACTAACTAAAAATGGCTCCCTTCCCTTCCCAATTGCCCTGAGCAAGGGGCGGAACCAAAACTTAACGATGATGGACAGGTGACTTGCCCTACGACTGCAACCAAAGGAAGCCACCTTTCTGCAGAATCCCTGAAACCTTGGACTGCAAGCAAACATTTAATACAAAGCAAATAAAGTTGGAGCTCCTGGTACAGCCGTACCAGCACAGGGGGCCACATGTTTTTGTTACCGTGTGGTTGAAAAGCACACTCAGATCAGTACCATGTGCCATCTCATTGGGACTGTATCTGCTATCCTTCTTTTGGTGTCATGTAAGACTAGGCTGGGGGAGCATCAAGCCTGATGGTCTGACGGAAAGACCTTTCTTCCCCTTCTCTGTTGCTCCATGTGCTTTATTCTGATTTCACAATTCAGGCAGCTCAGAAGGGTGGCTGGAGATTTACCGATTGCCTAAGGATGCCTGGCTGAAGGAGCTGGAAATAATTCAACCAGTACAGCTTCCAGGGCTTCCTGGAAGTGAGAATGACAAGCTGAAGGAAAAGGAAGTCAAGCAGCCATCCCCTCCAGAGAGACCTGGATCAAGATCAGGAAAGCGCCATTCTCCTAAGGTGGATCAGGGCCACATTCTTCTTAACCTTTTGGCATGCCATTAAGGCTTTCATAGCCTGACTCCAAAGCTATTTCCCATTGATATCCAACATAAGGATTTAGGCCCCTTCTACAATGCCATATAAAATCCAGATTATCTGCTTGGAACTGGATTATATGGCAGTGTAGACTCATATAATCCAGTTCAAAGCAACATAAGGACCCTAGCCCCTTCTACAATGCCATATAAAATCCAGATTATCTGCTCGGAACTGGATTATATGGCAATGTTGACTCATATAATCCAGTTCAAAGCAACATAAGGACCCAGGCCCCTTCTACAATGCCGTGTAAAATCCAGTTATCTGCTTGGAAGTGGATTATATGGCAGTGTAGACTCATATAATCCAGTTCAAAGCAACATAAGGACTCAGGCCCCTTCTACATTGCCATATAAAATCCAGATTATCTGCTTGGATTTGGATTGTATGGCAGTGTAGACTCATATAATCCAGTTCAAAGCAACATAAGGATCCAAGCCCCTTCTACAATGCCATATAAAATCCAGATTATCTGCTTGGAACTGGATTATGTGGCAGTGTAGACTCATATAATCCAGTTCAAAGCAACATAAGGATTTAGGCCCCTTCTACAATGCCATATAAAATCCAGATTATCTGCTTGGAACTGGATAATATGACAGTGTAGACTCATATAATCCAGTTCAAAGCAATGTAAGGATTTAGGCCCCTTCTACAATGCCATATAAAATCCAGATTATCTGCTTGGAACTGGATTATATGGCAGTGTAGACTCATATAATCCAGTTCAAAGCAACATAAGGACCTAGGTCCCTTCTACAATGCCATATAAAATCCAGATTATCTGCTTGGATTTGGATTGTATGGCAGTGTAGACTCATATAATCCAGTTCAAAGCAACATAAGGACCCTAGCCCCTTCTACAATGCCATATAAAATCCAGATTATCTGCTCGGAACTGGATTATATGGCAATGTTGACTCATATAATCCAGTTCAAAGCAACATAAGGACCCAGGCCCCTTCTACAATGCCATGTAAAATCCAGTTATCTGCTTGGAAGTGGATTATATGGCAGTGTATTTATTTATTTATTTGGTACACTTGTATACCGCTAATATCTCAGCCTTGCGGCGACTCATTGCGGTTTACAACATATATAAAAATACAATATTCACTTTAAAAATATAGGATAAAATATAAAATACATACATATACATACAGTGTATTGGGCCACCAATACAAACCGGAGCATCTCATAGTTAAAGTCATAATCCAATTCGTTATCCTAGGTTGCTAATCCATGAACAAACATCATCAAGTCAAGTTAGCCAAAAACTTGCTGGAACATCCAAGTTTTAAGTTTTTTCCGAAATGCCATTAGCGAGGTGGCTGATCTTATTTCCATAGGGAGGGCATTCCAAAGCCGGGGGGCCACCACAGAAAAGGCCCTATCTCTCGTACCCACGAGCCGCACCTGTGAAGCAGGTGGGATAGAGAGAAGGACCTCTCCTGAAGATCTTAGGGTCCTGGTGGGCTGATAGGCCGAGATACGTTCGGATAGGTACGTAGGGCCAGAACCGTTTAGGGCTTTAAAGGTCAAAACCAGCACTTTGAATTGGGCTCGGTAGCTAATCGGTAGCCAGTGGAGCTGGTACAGCAGAGGAGTTGTATGCTCCCTGCGCCCTGCTCCTGTTAGTACCATGGCTGCCGCCCGTTGGACTCGTTGGAGCTTCCGGCCGTCTTCAAAGGCAACCCACGTAGAGAGCGTTGCAGTAGTCAACGGGATGTAACCAGAGCGTGGACTACCGTGGCCAAGTTAGACTTCCCAAGGTACGGGCGCAGTTGGCGCACGAGTTTTAACTGTGCGAATGCTCCCCTGGTCACCGCTGAAACCTGGGGTTCCAGGCTCAGCGATGAGTCCAGGATCACACCCAAACTGCGAACCTGTGTCTTCAGGGGGAGTGCGACCCCATCCAACACAGGCTGTAACCCTATACCCTGTTCGGCCTTACGACTGACCAGGAGTACCTCTGTCTTGTCTGGATTCAATTTCAATTTGTTCGCCCCCATCCAGACCGTCACAGCAGCCAAGCACCGGTTCAGGACTTCGACAGCCTCCTTAGTAGCAGGTGGGAAGGAGTGACAGAGCTGGACATCATCTGCGTACAGATGACACCGTACCCCGAAACTCCGGATGATCTCGCCCAGTGGCTTCATGTAGATGTTGAACAGCATGGGGGACAGTATTGAACCCTGAGGAACCCCACAAAACAACGGTTGTGGGGTAGAACAGGAGTCCCCCAGTAACACCTTCTGAGACCGACCCTCGAGAAATGACCGGAGCCACTGCAGAACAGTACCTCCGAGACCCATTCCCGCGAGGCGTCCCAGAAGGATACCGTGGTCGACGGTATCGAAGGCCGCTGAGAGGTCGAGTAGCACCAACAGGGACACACTCCCCCTGTCGAGCTCCCGACGAGATCATCCACTAAGGCGACCAAGGCTGTCTCGGTTCCATGTCCCGGCCTGAAACCAGACTGTGCCGATCCAGATAATCCGTGTCTACCAAGAATACCTGGAGTTGTGAGGCCACCACACGTTCCATGACTTTGCCCAAAAAGGGAAGATTGGAAACAGGCCGATAGTTTACCAATTGAGTGGGGTCCAGTGATGGTTTCTTCAACAGCGGTTTTATCACAGCTTGCTTTAAGCTGGCTGGAAATATGCCTTCCCGAAGGGAGGCATTAACCACCACCTTAACCCACTCGGCCAATCCCCCTCTGGCCTCCTTTAGAAGCCAGGATGGGCAGGGGTCTAGGAAGGACGTGGTAGGCCTCATTCCTCCAAACCCACTCGGCCAATCCCCCTCTGGCCTCCTTGAGAAGCCAGGATGGGCAGGGGTCTAGGATGCATGTGGTAGCTCTCATTCCTCCAAGCACCTTGTCCACATCCTCGGTTTGAACCAATTGAAATGAATCCATCAAAATTGGACAAGCAGATGCTCGTGTTACATCCTCAGAGATTGCCGTTAATATGGTGTCCAGTCCAGAGCGGATCAAAGCGACTTTGTCTGCAAAGAACCGAGCAAAAGCTTCACAGCGAGCTGCTGAGTCATCAGGGCACCCATCCTGAATGGAGGGTTTTAATAGGCCTCTGACAACTCGAAACAGTTCAGCCGGACGGTTCTTTGCAGACGCAATAGTGTAGACTCATATAATCCAGTTCAAAGCAACATAAGGATTTAGGCCCCTTCTGCAATGCCATATAAAATCCAGATTATCTGCTTGGAACTGGATTGTATGGCAGTGTAGACTCATATAATCCAGTTCAAAGCAACATAAGTATTTAGGCCCCTTCTACAATGCCATATAAAATCCAGATTATCTGCTTGGATTTGGATTATATGGCAGTGTAGATTCATATAATCCAGTTCAAAGCAACATAAGGACTTAGGCCCCTTCTACAATGCCATATAAAATCCAGATTATCTGCTTGGAACTGGATTATATGGCAGTGTAGACTCATATAATCCAGTTCAAAGCAACATAAGGACCTAGGTCCCTTCTACAATGCCATATAAAATCCAGATTATCTGCTTGGAACTGGATTATATGGCAGCGTACACTCATATAATCCAGTTCAAAGCAGACAATGTGGATTATCTGCTTGGATAAAGTGGATTATATGGCAGTGTAGAAGGGGTCCTAATTTACTTTCTTGGTGGACACAGAAATCAGTGTGTTGCCTGTATATTTAACTTTTTTTTAATCCTCTGCTGGAAAAGCCTTGCTATTTTTAAAGGGCTCTAATTGTTGGCAGTGAGAAGAAAGACAGGCTTAAATAACTCAGGAAAGTAGAAGTAAATGCTCAAATATATACAGGCAACACACAGAGAGGAAACAAACAAGGACATCTAATCACCTCTCAACAAAAGATTGCCCCAGGCACTGCCAGGCCATCAAATGCTAATCAAGGTGGTCAGTTGAAATATTCACACTTAGCTCCAGCAGACAAGAGCCCTTTGTCCCACCCTGGTCATTCCACAGATATATAAACCCTTTTTCCTAGTTCCAACAGACCTCACTACCTCTGAGGATCCTTGCCATAGATGCAGGCGAAACATCAGGAGAAAATGACTCTAGAACACGGCCATATAGCCCTAAAAAACCTACAACAACCCATAGAGTAAAATAATGTAAACGTAATAATAACAATAATAAATAGAGTAAAATAATTAATGTAATAATAACAGTAATAAATAGAGTAAAGTAATAAATGTAATAAAATAGTAATAGAGTAAAATAATGTAAATGTAATCATAATAAATAGAGTAAAATAATTAATGTAATAACAGAGTAAAATAATGTAAACGTAATAATAACAATAATAAATTGAGTAAAGTAATAAATGTAATAAAATAATAAAGTAAATAATGTAAATGTAATCATAATAAATAGAGTAAAATAATTAATGTAATAATAACAATAATAAATAGAGTAAAGTAGTAAATGTAATAAAATAATAATAAAGTAAAATAATGTAGGTGTAATAATAATAAATAGAGTAAAATAATAAATGTAATAAAAATAATAATAACAGAATAAAATAATAAATAACTTTGGCTTGAGTATAAGCTGAGGGGTTTTCGGTCTAAAAATGGGCTGAAAAACTTGGCTTATACTCGAGTATTTACGGTAAGCATTCCACTGGTTTATGCACAAATTTTAGATGAAAAGTAAAAAAAAATTAAAATCATAAATCAACAAAGCACACATCCCAATATGAAGGATGATGCTGTGAAACCTACTTATGGATGACTTTATCATATCTGTCATTATATCAATTCTAAGTGTGTGTGTGTATATATATAAAGCTCCTCAAATTCTGCAAACAATATCTACCCACCTTTTTCTTTCTCTCCTAAGAAATTAAATTGAAACATCATGTGGGTGTTTAAGTTTAGCTAGAGTGAAGATATTACAGTTTGCCTTATACTAAAATTGCTGTCTTGTGTGGTTCTGTAGAAAAAGAGTGTGGATATCCAAGGTCAAGTCCCCGAAGAGATGGTAAGCAGCCCCAAGTCTGACCTTCCTTGAGCTACCGGAAAATTTAAAAACCAGAGTCAGCATCTGGTCTTCCCAGAGGGAATTTTGGGATTTGGTGTGTGCTAAGGCCCTGGTTTCCATTCAACACAGAATCTGCCACTCAAACCCTATCTCTGCACTTTCCTATTTCTTCTTTGGCATAAGGCAGTGGTTCTCAACCTTCCTAATGCTGCGACCCCTTAATACATTTCCTCATGTTGTGCTGACCCCCAACCATAAAATTATTTTTGCTGCTACTTCATAACTATAATTTTGCTACTGTTATGAATCGTAACGTAAATATCTGATATGCAGGATATATATTCATTCCCTGGAGCAAATTTGGCACAAATACCCGATATGCCAGATTTAGAATACTGGTGGGGTTGGGGGGAGAATTGTGTTTGTCATTTGGGAGTTGTAGTTGCTGGGATATATAGTGCATCTACAATCAAAGAGCATTCTGAACTCCACCAGTGATGGAATCGAACTTGGCACACAGAATTCCCATGACCAACAGAAAATACTGAAAGGGTTTGGTGGGCACTGACCTTGAGTTTTGGAGTTCTAGTTTACTCACTGTGGATTCAAACAATGACGGATCAGGACCAAACTGGGCATGAGTCCTCAATATGGCCAAATGTGAACACTGGTGGAATTTGGGGAAAATAGGCCTGGACATTTGGGAGTTGTAGTTTCTGAGATTTATAGTTCACCTACAATCAAAGAGCATTCTTAACTCCACCAATGATAGAATTGGGCCAAACTTCCCACACAGAACCCCAATGACCAACAGAAAATACTGTGTTTTCTGATGGTCTTTGGTGACCCCTCTGACACCCCCTCGTGATCCCCCCCAGAGGTCCTGACCCCTAGGATGAGAAATGCTGGCATAAGACAACTATATATGGGGCATTCAATCCTCCCATTGGAGATGGCAATGGGAACACATAAATTGGTGACTCCTAGATTTAGATAGGTGAAATTTGATACCTGTGTTAGTAAATTGTGGTCCGTTAGTCTTATCATAGTACTGAGGAAGTCCCAGTGTCTTTCTACCTAGATTGGCAATTTCTTATCTGAAGAAGATGGAGTCCCCAGTGACACAATGGGTTAAACCCTTTTGCCGGCAGGACTGCTGACCGAAAGGTTGGAGGTTCGAATCCGGGGAGCGGGGTGAGCTCTTATCTATCAGCTCCAGCTTCTCATGCAGGGACATGAGAGAAACCTACCTCGGGATGGTAACACATCTTGGTATCCCCTGGGCAGTGTCCTTGCAGAAGGCCAATTCTCTCACACTAGAAGCGACTTGCAGTTTCTCAAGTCGATCCTGAAACACACACACACACAATCTGAAGAAGATGCACCATCCAAGCCCAAAGTAGCTTAGCTCAATAATAATTGGTGGGTAGTTTAACCAAGTTGTTCAGATCCTCCTTTTGCTTAATTTCAGGATTTGCTACAACTCCTAAGCAAAGTTGAATCTAAGCTGGTTCCCCCAGTGCTGCTCCTGAAAATCAGGTCACCCAAGCCGCTTGCAGGTTAGACTCTCTTTTAACCTCTTCTGTTCCCTCACTTTTACATTTAATGGCTTTTTAAAATAATAATAATAATAATCATAAAGTTAAAATAGAAATGCAAACCACACAAATAAGCTATTTATTTATGAAACAGCACACCGTTCATGAAGAAGACTTTGACTTGCCCAGAACTTTTCCTCCAGCTAAATATAAAGCAGAGTCAGGGATAGAAGGGAAGAAGCTGGGACAATCACAATGTTTAGTTTTAAACAGTTTAAAGGGAAAGTAAAGGCAGATTTAGGCAGATTCGACCAGGTTAATACAAATTCTCATTGCCCAGTATTTCAAATGCAAGATACACTTAGGCAGAAAAAACGAAATGCAAAGATACAGAATGGGGGACAATGCTTGGCTCGAGAGCAGTACGTGGGAAAAAGATCTTGGAGACCTCGTGGACAGGAAGGTAAACATGATCTTTATTAATTACTTACATGAAGGGTTAGAAGGCGGGATCATCAAGTTTGCAGACAACACCAAATTGGGAGGGAGAGCCAATACTCCAGAGGACAGGAGCAGGATTCAAAACGATCTTGACAGATTAGAGAGATGATGGGCCAAAACTAACAAAATGAAGTTCAACAGGGACAAATGCAAGATACTCCACTTAGGCAGAAAAAGTGAAATGCAAAGATACAGAATGGGGGACGAGGCCTGGCTCGAGAGCAGGACGTGTGAAAAAGATCTTGGAGTCCTCATGGACAACAAGTTAAACATGATCCAACAATGTGATGTGGCAGCAAAAAAAAGCTAATGGGATTTTGGCCTGCATCAGTAGGAGTCTAGTGTCTAGATCCAGGGAAGTCATGCTACCCCTCTATTCTGACTTGGTCAGACCACACCTGGAATATTGTGTCCAATTCTGGGCACCACAATTGAAGGGATATATTGACAAGCTGGAATGTGTCCAGAGGAGGGCGACTAAAATGATCAAGGGTCTGGAGAACAAGCCCTATGAGGAACGGCTTAAAAAGCTGGACATGTTTAGTCTGAAGAAGAGAAGGCTGAGAGGAGACATGATAGCCATATATAAATATGTGAGAGGAAGTCATAGGGGGGAGGGAGCAAGCTTGTTTTCTGCTGCCCTGGAGACTAGGACGCAATGGATCAATGGCTTCAAACTACAAGAAAGGAGATTCCATGTGAACATGAGGAAGAACTTCCTGACTGTGAGAGCCATTCAGCAGTGGAACTCTCTGCCCCGGAGTGTGGTGGAGGCTTTTTCTTTGGAAGCTTTTAAACAGAGGCTGGATGGCCATCTGTCAGGGGTGCTTTGAATGCAATGTTCTTGCTTTTTGGCAGGGGTTGGACTGGATGGCCCATGAGGTCTCTTCCAACTCTATGATTCTATTATTCCTACCGGAACAAGGGATCATCAAGACTATTACCTCTTTGTTGCTGTGAGTTTTCTGGGCTGTATGGCCATGTTCCAGAGCCATTCGTACCTGACCTTTCACCCCGTTCCATGGCAGATATCCCCAGAGGTTGTGAGGCCTGTTGGAAACTAGGCAAGTGGGGTTTCTATATCTGTGGAATGTCTTGTCTGTTGGAAGCAAGTGTGAACATTGCCATTGGCCACCTTGATGAGCATTTAATGGCACTGCAGCTTCAACCTACACACAGCATATTATTTGAGAACACGGAAATGCTGGACCACTCCAACAGCTACCATGTCAGACTTCACGGAGAAGCCATTGAAATCCACAAGCGTGCGGACAATTTCAACAGAAAGGAAGAGACCATGAAAATGAACAAAATCTGGCTACCAGTATTAAAAAAAACTTTAAAATCAGGACAGTAAATAAAGAGCAACAGTAAAAAAAAAAGCCAGAGGAATTCCAGACAAGAATCAGTGAAGGCCAGCTACAAGGATTCCCCAGGCAGCAACTAGCCAGGCTTTGAATCTGCAAGGCCATTAAATGCTAATCAAGGTAGCCAATTGCAACGTCCACACTTGCCTCAAACAGACAAGAGTTCTTTCTCCCATCCTGGACATTCCACAGATATATAAATCCCACTTGCCTAGTTTCCTATAGACTTCACAACTTCAGAGGATGTCCACCATAGATGTGGGAGAAACATCAGGAGAGAATGCCTCTGGAACATGGCCATACAGCCCGGAAAACTCACAGCAACCCAGTGATTCTAGCCATGAAAGCTTTTGAGAACACTATTCTCTCTCTTTGAAAATAGAACAGCCAGGCATTGTTTGGATTTGCCTCTGGTGTTAATTAAATTTCATGGATCCCTTGCAGGAAAGAGACCTGGGGTTATTTATTTATTTTATTTATTTCCTATATTTATACCCCATAAATTGTTGTTGTTCATTCATTCAGTCGTCTCCGACTCTTCGTGACCTCATGGACCAGCCCACGCCAGAGCTCCCTGTCGGCCGTCACCACCCCCAGCACCACCCCCACCCCATAAATACCTATATATATATATATATATACACACACACACACACACACACACACACACACACACACACTAGCCGTCCCCTGCTGTGGCCCAGTCTGTATATATGTGTTTTGTGTGAGTGTGTATATGTGTTTATATATGTGCATCTGTATATATATGTGTGTTTGCATGTGTATATATATGTGTGTGTGAATGTATATGTGTGCATATGTATGAGTGCATCTGTGTATATATGTGTGTATATATTTGTGTGTTTATATGTATATATATTGTGTATATGTGTGTACTTGTCTATATGCATATTTGTGTTTATATGTGGGTGTATGTATGTGTGCATGTATGTGTGCCTGTGGATATGTATATATGTGTGTGTATAAAGATGTATGTGTGTACATATGTGTGTGCCTGGGTATATATATATACGTATGTGTATGTATGTGTGCATGTGTGTGTATATATATATATGTGTGTGTGTGTGTGTGTATGGTGTATTTTTGGAATTTTTAAGTCCGTTCTGCTGTGGTGTTTTTGTATTTTTAGGGATGATGAACACTCATTGGACTGTTAGATGTCTTGTGTCAAAATTTCGTGTCAATTCATCCAGTGGTTTCTGAGTTATGTTAATCCCACAAACGAACATTACATTTTTATCTATATCTGTATCTGTATCTCTATTGTCATATGCCAACCACGACTAGGATGGTTGTTATAATTCTCTCTCCCTATATAGATATATATGTATAACCTAGATAGATAGATAGATAGATAGATAGATAGATAGATATCTATATAGATATCTATATAGGGAGAGAGAATTATAACAACCATCCTAGTCGTGGTGTCCCTGGTTGGCATATGACAATAACGCATTTTGTAGCTTTTTCAGGCTGTATGGCCATTTTCTAGAAGCATTCCCTCCTGAGGTTTTGCCTGCATCTATGACAGGCATCCTCAGAGATTGTGAGGTCTCTGCCATAGATGCAGGCGAAATGTCAGGAGAGAATGCTTCTAGAACGTGGACGTGCAGCCTGAAAAAACTACAACAACCCAGTTTCTTAGTAAGGCTTTCTATGCATCCAAATGCAGGAAGCACCTTTAAGAATCCCTTTGATGCCTTAATGAAGAGTGACGATGGCAGTGTACTTGGCTTGGGATACAACCATATGATGAAGGAGTCCCAGTGGGAGCAGCTGGATGCCATTTTTAACAACACTTTCCAGCAGTATCTGGAGACGGAGGAGGAGATGGAACCCAAAGAGGAGAAACCCAGGTGAGAAGGGAAAAATACTAGGACCTTTGACATAGATCTTCCAACTGTGTAGCATGCTTTGAGGCTGGAAGAGCAAAATCAGGTTCTTTCTCTTGCTAAAATGATGCTCTTTGATAGTCCAAAATAAATGCTGGTTTACCAGATTGATTTACAAGCCGCTTTGAATCCCATTTCAGAGGACAGCAGAATACAAATCAAATAAGTGAATAGGTAAAGTTCCAATTGATTCAATGAACGGGCAGTTGGATTTTGTCCTAGCTTTGTATTGTCAAAGGCTTTTCTGGCCAGAATCACTGGGTTGCTATGAGTTTTCTGGGCTGTATGGCCATGTTTCAGAAGCATTCTCTCCTGACGTTTTGCCCACACCTACAGCAGGCATCCTCAGAAGTTGAGGGGTCTGTTGGAAACTAAGGAAGTGAGGTTTATATATCTACTAGCTGTCCCCTGCCACGCGTTGCTATGGTCCAGTCTGTGTATGTGTGTATTGTGTGTGTATATATGGACATTAGGACATTAAGATCGTCCAGGGAGGCCCTGCTCTCGATCCCGCCAGCCTCCAAGCACGGCTGGTGGGGACGAGAGACAGGGCCTTCTCAGTGGTGGCCCCTCGGCTGTGGAACGCCCTTCCCGCAGACATTAGATCAGCCCCCTCCCTGCTGGCATTCAGGAGAAGAGTGAAGACCTGGCTCTTTGAACAGGCGTTTAATTAAGCAGTGCAATCAATTGATTGAGTTTGGAACTTGGAATAATGGACGAGGAGATCGGATTATGACTTTACTGATGAGACGTGACGGATTAGTTATTGGATGTATTGATGTTTGTTCATTTACTGATGTATTGTTGTATTGTTTTAACTGCTTTAGTGATTGTTTAGATGCTAATGCTATGCACTTTGTATATTGTCCTGTTGTAAACCGCACTGAGTCGCCTACAGGCTGAGATAGTGCGGTATACAAATAAAGTAAATAATAATAATAAATATATATGTGTGTATATATTTGTATATATGTGTGTTCATGTGTGTGTGTGTGTGTGTGTGTATATACACACATATACATATATATATATGGGTTTTTGCATGCATTGTAATATTTTTTTGGGGGGGGTTGGCTTTTTAAGTCCCTTCTGCTGTGTTTTTCAGTGTTTTTATGAGTGATGGTCACTCGTTGGCCTGATAGGTGTCTTGTGTCCCAATTTGTTGTAAATTCGTTCAGTGGTTTTTGAGTTATGTTAATCCCACAAACAAACATTACATTTTTATTTAAATAGGTGGAATATCCAGGGTGAGGGAAAGAACTCTTGTCTGCTTGAGGTATATGTGAATGTTGCAGTTTGCCACCTTGATTAACACGAAGTCAGGGTGGCAACAGCAACATTCAGGAAGCCATGAAAATGAACAAAATCTGGCTACCAATATTTTTAAAAAGTTCTAAAATCAGGACCACAAATAAAGTGCAATACTAAAAAATCAGGGGAATCCCAGACAAGAATCAACCAAGGCCAGCTAACACCTCCCTACAAGGATCCCCCAGGCAGCAACCAGCCAGGTTTTGAAGCTGCAAGGCCGTTAAATGCTAATCAGGGTGGCCAATTGCCTAGTTTCCAACAGACCCCCAAACCTCTGAGGATGCCTACCATAGATGCATGCAAAACATCAGGAGAGAATGCTTCTGGAACATGGCCATACAGCCCAGAAATCTCACAGCAACCCAGTTCTAGCTTTGCTATTTGGCCTGCTTGGCTTTATAGAGCAATTTGGTAGTGTGTTTGTGATGTTTTATTGGCATTTCTTTTGTCTTTGGTTTTGGGAAGAAAGGTGGTGGAAAACATTAATTAAATAATACTCCCCCCAGTATCACTTTATTTGTGAAATCCTTTGAATATCACACCTGTTGTACTGAATTCTGGTTTCTCTGTTTTCAGCCATGCTGTGTTTCATTTTCACTTGCCTGGTCGCACCCTGCCTTTGGGAGCTGAAATCAAAGCCGAGCCAGGTAATTTCCAATTTTCAGCAGTGTTGCATTTCCTCTGCCAATATTATGGTTTCAGATATTAACTAATTATGGCAGGTACCTATAACTAAGTACCAACATTTTAATGTTGATATACTTTCCGTCTAAGTTTTGAGTTTTCCACTTTTGTCACAGGGAGAAGGAATGGATGAAATCCTCAAGTATTCAGTCTTTCTTACTACTCGGTCTTTCATTGCCTCCTCTTGTCCCCTTTCTCCAGATATATCTGTTGCACTCAGTGTTCATTGGAGCGGTAGTCACAATCTTTGTTTTTATCTTCTGAGTCGTCCACCAAAGGAAAAACCAGGTAATACAATATCAAAACTACTTGTAATCCATTCCAGAATAACTCTCAAATTCTCGTATCCATGATAAACCATTACTGCAGCTGACACTTACCTTATTCCTAATGTTTACAGTCTGGCCATGCTTACAGTAATTTCCCACCACGGTTAGACGATCACAGTTTGATCGAGTCTGAATTGGTGTTTTTATATGTGCATGTGTTTATTTTATTGTATTTTATATTATGTTCACTTTTATGTTTGTTTTTAGGCACTTTGTGCCATCTCTAAGCCGCCTCGAGTCTCTTTGGGGAGATGGTGGCGGGATATAAGAATAAAGTTGTTGTTGTTGTTGTTGTTGTTGTTGTTGTTGTTGTTGTTGTTGTAGACCAGGAACTTGTGCCCCTCATAGATTTGGGAGAGGCCACAAGGACCATCCAGTCCAACCACTTGCCCTACAGGATAATATAATCAGATATAGATATATATATATATATATATATATATATATATATATATATAGTTGTTGTTGTTGTTGTTGTTGTTGTTGTTGTTGTATTTATAGCCCACTTTTCCCAAATATTGGATCACAAAGTATCTCACAATGTGAAAAGCAATACAATTAAAACATCCAAAAAGTAAATATTAAAATAAGAATTAAACTAGTTACAATTATTAAAACAATTCAGTTAAAGTACAATTAAAAAGGAAATAAGAACAGTGGTTCTTAACCTATGGGCTGCAGACCACCAGTGAGCTGCGAGGACAAAAATCTGGTCCATGAGCCTCCTTCCTCTTTATTTATTTATTCATTTTTAAAATTTTATTTCTGCTCTTTTCATGCCTCCTGCAACTGCTTCCCTGTCGCTGACCAGCCCTGCCCCCTTGGATAGACCACAACAGCTCTAGATTATTAAATATGGTTTGGGTGAGCTGATGGCGACTACTGGATGGCATATGTTCAGTATCAGAAACTAGAGCTGATGTGGTCTATCCAATACAGTTTTCTGAATCAGCTCCCCAAATAACCAATCCAAATCTAAAGTTGTCCAAAAACCGATTTGTAACCCTTTTGGTACTAATGTTGGAGAGTGGCCCCTGGTCTAAAAAAGGCTGGGAACCACTGTTATTTAAAAAATCTGGTTTAGAAACCTGTCAGAATAAAAAGGTTTTAGCTGGTAGTGCAGTGGGTTTAACCGCTGAGCTGTTGAAGTTGCTGATTGAAAGGTCACAGGTTCGAATTTGTGCAGCGGCGTGAGCCCCTGCTGTTAGCCCCAGCTTCTGCCAACCTAGCAGTTCGAAAACATGCAAATGTGAGTAGATCAATAGGTACCGCTCCGGCAGGAAGGTAACGGCGTGCTATGTAGTTATGCCGGCAACATGACCTTGGAGGTGTCTATGGACAACGCTGGCTCTTCGGCTTAGAAATGGAGATGAGCACCAACTCCTAGAGTCAGACATGACTGGACTTAATGTCAGTGGAAAATCTTTACCTAGCCTTCCTCAGGAAGGTCAACAAGCCACAGACCAGGCAGCCAAGGAATTCCTTACAAATGACACAGTTTGGTTGTTTAGTAATTTAGTAATTCCAGAGAACCTTAGGAATATTGTTCATTCCTGCAGTCATTTGATCATCCATTTTTTCTAGATTCTGATCCAAAACCAGACATTGTTTGGCCATGTGCGGCTCCAATTGCATGTTCAGCTATCACACCTTGCTCTTCTTACCTGGTTTTTGCCTGTGAAGACAGAAGCATTACTTCCTGGGACGTATCTATTGGTGAGCTTTCTCCTTACCACCTTTCATGAGATTGGGAAGACTTTGGAACTCATTACCTGGAGAGATCAGGAAAGCCCCTTCTCTAGAAACGTTCAAAAAGAACCTTAAAACCTGGCTCTTCCGCTGCACCTTTTGACGAATAGGTGCATAATATGACACCATTGCACCCCTCAATGCTCTTCCCACTGGAATACACGCCCTCCAAATGGGAAGTTTAGCTTCACAACTATGTATGTTTTTCCTAGTTCCCGGCAGATAACTTGCTCCTATTTTATCTCATTAGAGTCTTAGAATTGTTTTTATCCTGTACATGTGGTCCGCCCATTGTTATTGTGATTGTGCCTATTGGAATGTTATTTTATGACTGTGTTTATAATTTTTTTCTTGATGTAAATTGATTATGTTGTTTATTATTTTTGCTCTGGTTTTATTTTGTTGTAATATGTTGACCGGGCTTGGCCCCATGTAAGCTGCTTCGAGTCCCCATTGGGGAGATAGTAGCAGGGTATAAATAAAGATTATTATTGTTATTATTATTATTTCCTTATACAGAAAAACAACCGTACTTCCCAGGGGCCCAAGTGTTCTTTGTGATGAGCCTTGTTCCGTCTTCAGGAGCATGGTTTACGTTGCCTTTTAGCTGCATGGGATAGCATTCCTTTGCATTTCCCCAGGGTTGCTATAGACCCAGCAGCACCCTGGAAGTTAAACAGTATCAGAGTCTGGAAATCCAGGCTGCAGGCCCTCTGCAGTTATTGGTTTAGAAATTATCTCTTTGGGTTAGGAGTCCGCCCTTTTTTCCTGGGGTTGAGATCTCCATTTTGGAATCTCCCCTGCCTCCTTCAGTAGAGAAAAGAACCTCAGATGTGCTGTTGGTCAGGCAGGGAGCTCTGAAAAACCCATTGTGAATACAATTGAGATAGATAGATAGATAGATAGATAGATAGATAGATAGATAGATAGATAGATAGATAGATAGATAGATAGGCAATTGAGAAATTGAGATAGATGATAGATAGATAGATAGATAGATAGATAGATAGATAAGCAATTGAGAAATTGAGATAGATAGAACGCCCTTCCCATTAGACTAGCTCCATCATTAATGGTATTCCGCAAAAAAGTGAAAACCTGGTTGTTTGAGCAGGCGTTCGAATAGTCAGTGCAATGAATGTAATGAACATAGGAATGGAACAATGGATGACGGATCTGGAACATGTTTTTATTTATTTACTTTGCTTCTATACCGCTGTATCTCAAGCCCGAAGGCGACTCACAGCGGTTCACAAACAGTAAAAACAGTAGAAACAGCAGTGGTTCCATACAACATATAACAATTGACTTAACACATTATCCATAAATTACCAATAAGCAATTACAATGCACAATTATTACAAAAAACAACCGTACACAATCTTCTCATCATCCAAGCGTAGTCCAGGTTCGTCGTCCATTGTTCCATTCCTATGTTCCATTACCAGATTGCACTAAATTACTCAAACGCCTGCACAAACATCCAGGTCTTCACCTTTTTGCGGAATACCATTAGAGATGGTGCTAGTCTAATGTCCGTAGGAAGGGCGTTCCACAGCCGAGGAGCCACCACCGAGAAGGCCCTATCTCTCATCCCCGCCAGCCGAGCTTGAGAAGCAGGCGGGATCGAGAGCAGGGTCTCCCCGGAAGATCTCAAAGTCCTGGTGGGTTCATAGGCAGAGATGCGGTCAGATAGGTAGCTTGGGCCGGAACCGTTTAGGGCTTTAAAGGCCAACGCCAGCACTTTGAATTCAGCCAGGTAGCAGATCGGTAGCCAGTGGAGTTGGCGCAACAGGGGGGTTGTATGCTCCCTGCGCTCCGCTCCTGTTAAAATCATGGCTGCCGAGCGTTGGCCTAGTTGGAGCTTCCGAGCTGTCTTCAAAGGCAACCCCACGTAGAGAGCGTTGCAGTAGTCTAAACGGGATGTAACCAGAGCGTGGACTACCGTGGCCAAGTCAGACTTCCCAAGGTACGGGCGCAGCTGGCTCACAAGCTTTAGCTGTGCAAATGCTCCCCTGGTCACCGCCGAAACCTGGGGTTCCAGGCTCAGCGATGAGTCCAGGGTCACACCCAAGCTGCGAACCTGCGTCTTCAGGGGGAGTGCGGCCCCATCCAACACAGGCTGTAACCCTATGCCCTGTTCGGCCTTGCGACTGACCAGGAGTACCTCTGTCTGTCTGGATTCAATTTCAATTTGTTCGCCCTCATCCAGACCGTTACAGCGGCCAGGCACCGGTTCAGGACCTCGACAGCCTCCTTAGTAGCAGGCGGGAAGGAGTGACAGAGTTGGAACATCATCGGCATACAGGTGACATCGTACTCCAGAACTCTGGATGATCTCCCCCAACGGCTTAATGTAGATGTTAAACAACATGGGAAACAATATTGATCCCTGCAGGACCCCACAGGACAATGTTTTTAGTGATGTTTAATGTTTTTAGTGATGTTTAATGTTTTTAGTGATGAGGCGCTAGCGAATGGCTATTAGTGTCAATTGTATATTGTTGTTAATTGTATACTTTTCTATAATATGTTATGATGTTAACTGTTTTTTATACCGTGTTTTGGTAGCATTGAATTTTTGCTGTTCTTGTTGTTAACCGCTGTGAGTCGCCTAAGGGCTGAGAACAGCGGTATACAAATAAAGTAAATAAATAAATAAATAGCAATTGAGCGATTGAGCAATTGAGTTATAGATTGATATTGAGAAATAGAGAGAAATAGTAGTAGTAGTAGTTTTTATTGATTAGCCCTTAGGCCATATCACAATAAGAAACAGAACAACAAGGCCTGACAAGACCTGATCACACTCCACGTAGTAAGTTAAAATAAGACACTTATAACAATACAGTAAGTAAATATGATAAGACATGTTAAAACTGATAAACTGATCAAGCTGAGTATATACATCATATTTCATTATCACCCCTACAATTTACCCCAATCAGCCCTACATATGTGGTTCTCAGGTATATTGTTTTGCTTAAGTACAGAGCTGTTTTATATGTTAGTTTTGGTCTTGGCCACATGTTGTGTTGTTCTGATGTGGGATTCCCAATACATTGTCCGTTTGATATATGGACCAAGGTGGAAGTCTGTCACCTTTTGATACAATTTGCAATCAAATAATATGTGAGCTATATCCTCAATTTCAGAGAGAAATAGTTATTGAGTACTATTGAGCATTACTTCATCTCTAAAGATAACCTTGAGCTTAGATTGGGGACGACCTGGTCTTTTTACCATAGCAGCTCAGGGTTAGGGTGAAATATCCTAGGATTTTTTCTACCATTTGGAGAAAAGTTACCTCAGTAATTGAAGAAAAGGGAAAGAAAGAACATCTCTATGGTTTCCCAAATTGACTATTTGTGTTGTAACTTTATCAAGCTGTGCCAAGTCTGCCAAGGACTTTGGAAATAAACATTTTGTTGATGTTCATATCTTGACTGGCATCAGTTGCTGAAAGTATTGAGTTATTGCTTCAAAGCCCCCAGTGGTTCACCCAGATAAAGAGAGAAGCACATCTCAGTTTTAACGTTATAGTGTCTGGGTGTGACGGCACAAGCCTTTTGATTGACAAGAGGGGTAAAAAAACCACTTTAAATGAATAAATGAATAAATGGTAAAGAAAATCTTTAAATTGCATTGCAATCAAATATAGCCATCAAGTCCTCAAGAGCCAAAACGACTCCGGCCCTGTTTACCTCTCCGAACGTATTCTCCCCTACAAACCATCAAGACCACTAAGATCGTCTGGAGGGGCCCTGCTCTCGGTCCCTCCGCCTGCACAAGCACGGCTGGTGGGGACGAGGGACAGGGCCTTCTCGATGGTGGCCCCTCAACTTTGGAACTCCCTGCCATTAGAGATCAGAACTGCCCCCTCCCTCATGACGTTCAGGAAACTAACAAAGACCTGGTTGTGGAATGCAGCATTTGACAACTGATTTAATTCTTTGCCCACATGAAAGGAGGATGATGAATGGGATTGTGATGGTGTTGGACGATTTGGCTCTTTTAACTGTGATGATAATGTTTTAATATGTATGGTGCTGATATTTTAATGAAGTGGCATTGTGTTGTTATTGTATATTCTTTGTATGTTAACACATGTTGTGAACCGGTCCGAATCCCTCTGTGAAGGTGAGAGGGTCAGTATATAAGACCTCGAAATAAATAAATAAATAAATAAAACAGATGAAACCTTCCTTAGCATCTTGCCCAAAAGGGAAGGTGCCTTTACTTCCATCCTCACTGGCTTATTCTTTTTTAGGGTTCCCCTTGTCTGTGACTGTGCTTCCAAAAGGGTATGCTGTACGAAGCCTCCAGTTCATGCCTCTTTCTTTAACATCAAACAAGAAATTGCCTATCCCTAACAAAGTGCACATTCTGGTATTGTGTACGGATGGATCTCTATATTTATTCACATCAGGAACCCAAGAATGTGATACCAAGCTGTTGGGTTACAGGTAAGGCAAGCTCTCATTTCATACAAGCCCAGAACTTTTTCCGTGGCAAGGTTGGTTCCCATAAGGTAGTGCTGGGGGTGAATTTCAAAGTGTTATCTTAGGCACAGCAACTAAAACTCAGAGCTGCTTTTTCATTCCTTCCTAGGAAATATAGCCTACAGCACCTGGTATTTAATAATAATAATAATAATAATAATAATAATAATAATAATAATAATAATGCTTTATTTATACCTCGCCACCATCTCCCCAAGGGGACTCAGGGCGGCTTACATGAGGCCAAGCCCAGCAATACAGTAAAACAATATACAACAGAACACAGTAAAAATAAAATAAAATAAAATACAAACACATTTTAAACACATCTATATAAATAAAAATGTAATGTTTGTTTCTGGGATTAACATAACTCAAAAACCACTGGGCGAATTGCCACCAAATTTGGCCACAAGACACCTACTAACCCAAGGAGTGACCACCACTCAAAAAAATGATTTTGTGATTTGGGAGTTGTAGTTGCTGGGATTTATAGTTCATCTACAATCAAAGAGCATTCTGAACTCCACCAACAATGGAATTGGACCAAACGTGGCACCCAGGACTCCCATGACCAACAGAAAACACCAGAAGGGTTTGGTGGGCATTGACCTTGAGTTTGAGAATTGTAGTTCACTTACATCAAGCGAGCACTGTGGACAGAAACAATGATGGATCTGGACCAAACTTGGCATGAATATTCCATATGCCCAAATATGAACACAGATGGAGTTTGTGGGAAATAGACCTTGACATTTGAGAGTTGTAGTTACTGGGACTTATAGTTCACCTACAATCAAAGAGCATTCTGAACCCCACCACCAATAGAATTGGGCAAACTTCCCACACAGAACCCCCATGACCAACAGAAAATACTTAAGGACATCCAGTCCAACTCCCTTCACCAGGGCAAGAAAACGTAATCAAAGCCCTCCTGACAAAGAGCCATCCAGTCATAGATATAGATGATAGATAGATAGATAGATAGATAGATAGATAGATAGATAGATGATAGATAGATATGATTCACTCACAGATATAGTATCATAGATTTGAAAGGGACCCTTAAAGAAGGACAATTATATGTTGCATGTTCCATGGTGGGCAAACCAGACACTCTCCACATCAACACTGACAAAGAAACAGCAAGAAATACTGTTTACCCAGAAGCAGAAAGAAATTACATATATTAGAAACAAACACTTTCTCATTACTTTATTTTCCAGATCTCCAGACTGGGCCACAGAAACACGTGGCAGGGGCAGCTAGTCAACAATATAAAATCACAACATTGTCAGTTTCCCAACCAAGTGTTAACCAGGGCTGCTCCTTCTTAACTTCCAAGATCATGTGGGATCTGGTACCTTTAGGGAACTGAGGTACTTGTAAAATAACCTGGGGAATTTCATTTTTAATCCTGGGGGTGCAGCAAGTTAAACCACTGAGCTGCTGAACTTGCTGACCGAAAGGTTGGCGGTTCGAATACGGGGTGGGCGGGGCGAGCTCCCGCTGTTAGGCCCAACTTCTACCAACCTAGAAGTTTGAGTAGATCAATAGGTACCACCCTGGCGAGAAGGTAACGGCACTCCATGCAGTCATGCTGGCCACATGACCTTGGAGGTGTCTATGGACAATGCTGGCTCTTCAGCTTAGAAATGGAGATGAGCACCACACCCCAGAGTTGGACATGACTAAACTTAATGGCAGGGGAAATCTTTAACTTTTTACCTTCATTTTTAATCATCTTTGTAATAGTTGGCAAGGCTTAAATGAAGCATCAGTAACAACCACATTCATCTCAGGACCTGTAAGCTGTATCTACTAAAGATAGTCAGTTTTATCCACTGCAGAGCCTCTGTAGTTCTCCTTCTTTGAGTGTTTATGTTTGTATGTGCCTTTTAAGTTACCTGCGAAAACCATAAAAATGAACAAAATGTGAATGCCAGTATTAAAAAAAACCTCTAAAATCAGGACAGTAAATGAAGAACAACACTCAGGAAACAGGGGATTTCCAGACAGGAAATAATCAGGTCCAGCTAACACCTACCAACAAAGGATTCCCCCAGGCAGCAACCACCCAGGTTTTGAAGCTTCAAGGCCATTCAGTGCTAATCAAGGTGACCAAATGCAACATTCACACTTGCCTCAAGCTGACAAGAGTTCTTTCTCCCACCCTGGACATTCCACAGATATATAAACCTCACTGCCTAGTTTCCAATAGACCCTTCAAGCTCTGAGGATGCCTGCCATAGATGTGGGCAAAACATCAGGAGAGAATGCTTTTGGAACATAATAATAATAATAATAATAATAATAATAATAATAATAATAACTTTATTTATCCCCCACCACCATCTCCCCAAGGGACTCGGTGCGGCTTACATGAGACCAAGCCCACAGTACATCAATAAACAAAAGCAATAACAAAAAATCAATACAAAACAAAATAAATCACATAATCAAAAATAAACAATGACATTGACAGTAACACAAATGGCCATACAGCCTGGAAAACTCACAGCAACACAGTGATTTTGACCATGAAAGCCTTAGACAACACAGTACCTTTCTGTTTTATTGTCTAAAAAGTACACAAACTGCAATGTAAATGTGAGCTTCTTTTGTAGACCCCAGGCTCCCAGCCAGATGATCAGTGCTGTGGGAACCATCCCAACCTTGCCTGATGCCGTGAGTGTATTCTGTTTACCTCTTACACAATCTCTGGTGTTTTCTGAGCACAAGAAATGTGGAGGCATGTTGTGTAGGGAGTATATTGCTGTTGAATGCACTTTTTAAAAAGATAGGTGCTATATGATGATTTTGGTATTCTGCTCAGTAGTCTGGCTGCTAGGTTTTCCACCATTTGCATCTTTCGAATAATATTCAAGGGCAGTTACAAGTATAATATTTTACAGCAGTTCAATCAGGAGATTACTATGGATAGATGATCCCTCTCCAGGAAAACTGGACAATAACAGATGGTGACACGGTGAGTTAAACCTTTGTGCCAGCAGGACTGAAGACTGACAAGTCGTAGGCTCAAATCCGGGGAAAGCGCGGATGAGCTCCCTCTGTCAGCTCCAGCTCTCCATGTGGGGACATGAGAGAAGCCTCCCATCAAAACATCCGGGCATCCCCTGGACAACATCCTTGCAGATGTCACAAGGAAAGTGCAGCCCCATCCAGGGCAGGCTATTAATCGTGTTTCTGGAGCCAATAATATCTCATCTATATAAATAAAAATGTAATGTTCATTTGTGGGATTAACAGAACTCAAAAACCACTGGACAAATTGA